GCACTTTTCTAACCTTGAAAACACTATATTAAAAATCAAGCATTTTCCAGGATTTCCAGCACCCGTACGAACCCTGTAAAAGGCCTACTTTATATTAAAGGCATTCCTTTATAATGTTATTTGCATCTAGGTAATCTACCATTTTCACTTGAATTATAGCTTCCATTATTTTTCCAGTAATGCTAGTTAAACTGATTGGCCTATAGTTTGCTGGATTACTTCTATCCCCTTTTTTGAATATGGGTGTTATATTAGCATGCTTCCAATCTGATGGTACCACACCCGCAGATAACGATTTATGGAACATTCCAGATAGATTCCATGCAAAGGGCAAAACATTTTTTAAAATCCTTTACAGTGTCACGTGAGCAGAAGAAAGTTGCTAAAGTATTTTTGTTTGGCAACGTCCCTCCAGGGCACAGGTGTCAGATTCCAGTCCTGGGGGGCCGGAGCCCTGCACATTTTTGGGTTTCCCCTCATTTAACACACCTGATTCAACTTCTTGTGCTAATTACCACATAGCTGTTGAGCTGAATCATTTATGGTGGAACAGGGAAGGAACTAAGCTACATAGGGCTGCGGCCCCCCAGGACCGCAGTTTGACACCCCTGCTCCAGGGGCTCCATACAGTGCTGAGTAGCTGATAGACAATTTTCTAGATTTTACGAGAGAGAATTTCCAATAACCTTTTAGAATTTTCCAGACTTCCATAGTAATGTAATACATGTAATATAACACAGAGGCCCACTACTTCAGTTTAGTTCTAGCTGCCTAAGTGAACACATAGACCAGGGTTATTCAAATCACGGTCCTTGAGGTCCGAGCACTGCTGGTTTTCCAGCCTTCCTTTACCTGTCAGTCAGGTGTGAAGCCTCTGACCAATCAGAATAGGTAATTATTAAACTAACTACCTGGGAGAACTGAAAACAAGGCCTGGATTTGGAATAGAGGTCCAGATTTGAAGAACCCTGACATAGACCTATCTTAATTTACCAGAGATGGCATCAAGAGGCTGCAAGCATTCTCTAGACACACTCTGCTATGTATGCAACCAATTTATCAAGACAAGACCAAAAAAGTACTCTGTGACGGTACACTGTAAAAAAAAATCCCGTTGTTTTTACGGAAAAAAACTGGCAGCTGTGGTTACCAGAATTATTCTGTAAAAAATACTGTACACGTGTAAACAACTTTACAGAAACATCTATAAATTGTACTGGATTTCAATGTAAAACAACCACCAACTACATGTAAAGTTTACTTGGTTTCAGTGCAGAATAAACAACACTTAGATGTAAATTATACTGAAATAACTGGTACAACAGCAGCACGGCCCTGCTAAATTAACAAAAATAAGATGTTGAAACTACAAATTAACTATGTAAAACGTTACAGTTGTGGTATGTGAAATTGACAGACTGTTTTATAAAGCTGTTTACATTCTTAACGAATTCTTTTACAGAATTACTCTGGTAACCACAGCTGCCAGCACTTTCTTGGTGAGATAACACGCTTTTCATTAGTAGTCCTGAAAAGAACTACATCAGGCATCAAAGAGCACCGAAACAATTACCATATATACAGGAAACAAGAGGTTGTCAGACGCTCAACTGTAAGACGCATACACGGTGGGGAAATTTACGGACGCTAATTACACACGAGGATCAGACAGGGTACACATAAGACACAGGTAAACACACGCGACAATAAGGAAATATAACCATTAGCAATAACAACAACAAGGGCTATTTACAGATGCGCGCGGGGCATGCTGGGACATGAGCCCCGCCGGTGCTGCAGTATTTTTATCACCTCAGTGGAAAAATACCTTCTTATCAACGGACCAGAGGTGTTGCCATGAGGTGAAGTTCTGACGGTAGAACTTCACCTCATGGCAACACCTCTGGTCCGTTGATAAGAAGGTATTTTTCCACCGTCAATGTACCGTCAAAAGCTGTCTGACAAACCAGAAAATCCTGAGTTGTGTGGACTATTTCTTGTTGTTTCGTAACGCACGTAGCAAAAAGCAAGTGTTGATATATCATTTAAAGTTTTACTGTTTCTCATCTGTAAAGCACAGAATATTAATTTGTAAAATGTAACACGGTTTCTTTCAGTATAAACAAAGTTGACCTGATTAAAAAAATATTATTTTCACACCGTTATGGTGTAAATTTAACTGTATTGTACTGGTTTTTATATTACAGTTTGTTTGCGTTTAAACTACAGTAATTTAACTTTACTTTTAAATATTTTTTAAAACATATTTTTACTGAAAAATTAACAGTTGTTTTTTGTTAAGTATTTTACAAAATCTTAATGTCAAATATACGCTGCTCTATTGTTTTTCCTTTTACAGTTTTTTTATGTCGTTATTTTACAGAGTTTCTCAGTTAATTTCACGGACATTTTTTACAATGTATCTGCTAAAATGCATGAAGCCTATCAGGCATGATTCGGCAGGCCTGTCTGGGATCAACACATACCCTGGGGACCTCGTTACATTCCAGTCGCAAATCTCGAAAAAACTACTCACTTCTAAACATTTTTTTTCATTTTTTTATAACTTTAGTATAAATACATATACATCTTGATTCATATGTTGTGTTACTCATTCAGACTTTAAGTAGATGAAAATGTGCACGTTTGCTAATTTTTACATGGGAAATATGTTAATTTGTAAATTTCATTATCCAGGTCAGTGGGTAACACTATGGCATCAGGGTGCCATGGTCACAAGATTGAGTGAGTTACTGCCCTCTGGTGGACAGGCATTGCATTTAGGGCTAGCCCTATTTAAAGAGATAGGTTCCTGGCCCCTGCCATGAGTATTTGGCTTTGGAAAATGGATGGATGGATGGATGAATGAATGGACAGATGGACAAATGGATGGATTTTTTTTAGGTCGCCATGCTTTGTGTGTAAAATTTGCATGATCTCCCTGCATCGCAAAGGTATCCCCCTACAATCCAAAGACATGCAGTTAGATAACTGGAGGCTCTAAACTGTATGACTCTGCGTTGCAGTGTAATTGGTAATATGCTATCCAGTGGCAGTGGTGATGATTACTTGATCACTGTAGGGTTTTTGTCCTTTGTTTTCGTCAGGCATCCCTGTAATGTTCATTTATCAAAAACCTACAAAGGACTGGGAAAAGGATGGACTGGTTCCCCTGACAGTGGTGCTCTTCTTTCCCAAGATATCAGAACTGCATTATCATTGATGATCTTCAGCTATGAGAATCTGACACATCAGAGTGTTTTTCAGATTGACCAGAGACCGCAGCTTGTTACGTTAATATTGAATAAGCTGACGTTGATGAGTTGGTACTGTACTAGTGTCTGTTCTACTGATATGAGTTTTATTTTATACATAAGGCCAGTTTATAAGGTGTTCCAGGTTCTTTGGTTCCATTGAAACATACTATATAAAACTACTAAACTGAAATGCTTGAAACACAACAAAGAGTATCCATCTCAATACGGGACCATAAGAAAGGCAGACTTCCGCTTAAGAGGGCACACTGTGTCCTAATTCTGTGGTTGCATCCTTCAAAGGACACAGACTATCAAGGGTGTAGCCTTTGTAGGCTGTATTGTTTTGAAGGTTGAACAGAAAACGTTGTAAATGGGATAGTGTGGCCTAGTTAATTTCCTATCTGTCCCGTTCCTATCGCCTAGTCAGGACCAGGGGCGTCAGAAGCATTTTGAATGTGGGGGGACACGTTGGCATAAAGCTAATATTTTATGTTAAACGTGGGGGGGTCCAAACGAATACTTATGAAATGTGAGGGGGACACGTCCCCCACAGATTTAATGCCGGTGACACCCATGGTCAGGACATACCCACTTTACCTACATACCTAAACGCAATGAATCTAGGGATATGCTGGACTGCAAGAGATCCATCCGGTGGATCCTTCATGACTCGGCAAAAGAAGGACACATTTCTAGACCGAATTTGAAGGAGGCTTCGAAATGGGACAGTCTTGTCAAATGCCACCATTCTCCACAGTGACATCTGCTGTCAAAAGGAATGAGAAGTCACCCTTCTAACATTCTACCTCAACAGGCAGGAAGAAGCCCAGGGCTACCAGTTTTGTAGGTCTTCATACACAACAATGACATTTACATAAATACATTTAGGAAATTCATCAGATAAAAAAATTATTGCAATAACCATATAAATACACAACAACGCTACACTTAAATAGTGTTACATCAAGTGTACCAAGTTCTATTGGTGACTTGGTTACTCTGTTAATTTTATGATTTTCTATTAAAAAGCAAGGTGCTGTTTGTATCAATACTAAGCAGGTACAGATCATCAGTATGTTCTGTTTGGATAGTCAAAAATGTTACAAAACAGTATGTTTCAGCTATGCAGTGGCTGTTTAGGTAACGGCTGTCCTATGTGCTGTGGTCTTGCGGGAGGTAGTGATAGACAAACTGATGCTTCATGAATCATTTACTGTATTTTTTGACTCCATTGCTCTCTGTTCAAACAACAAATCAAGAGCACCATCTAGTGGGGTTAAAAAATACAGCAAATGGTTCATGAAGTGTCATTTTATGCATCACTTGCTGGAGGTGTCCCCTGTGAGACCTGCCCCACCCATATATCCACTGTCTGTACTGCATGAAAAAGCAAAGGCCCGAGGCCGCGAAGCACATGCCAATCTGTCCTCCTTTCCCCTTCACATCTTCCACTCTGTCTTTTCCTCTTTGTTCTTCCATCATACCTGTCCCACGATTTGCAGTCCCCTGCTTATTCTCCAGGTCTATTCTCACCCCTGTCTCCATGTCTCCATCCCTCCTGCTCTTCTGTCCTGGCTTGACCTCGTTATTTTTACTGCCCACAATCACACTTTCGATTCTGCCTTCTTTCTCACCCCTACCCGGGCCCTCACCCATGCTCTTTTTGAGGGCTCTCTCGTCAAACTCATTTTCCAGCTGATCAAGCTCTTTCTCAAGGAGGGCCAGCTCATCCAAGTCAGAGAACAGGACCTTCTCCTCCTCCTCTTCCTCCATCTGCAGCTCTTCCCCATTCATGGTCTTCTGTAACTCCTCCTTGATCCGCTTCAGCTCCCGCAGGCCATCCTCAAGCTCCTTACAGACCTCGCGGATCTTGGCAGCAAACTTGGTTTTGGCACCTGTGTGTAGCTCGTGTGAGTCCCTGGCGAGGAAGAACACATCAAGTGCAAGGAAGAGCGCAGACATTACTCCGGTGGCAACACTGACTGCCTGGGCTGCTCGGGCCGCTCCACCAGCCACACTGAGCACCTGCACAGTGTTGACCAACTTCTCTGTGTTGATGAACAGGGCCTTCCCTGCCCGTCCACCCTCCTTCATCACATGCTTCAGGTTCTGGTTCAGTGCTTGCCTAGACAGGCTCTCCATGTACTCCTCAAAGTCCCACTGCCTCAGTACATTCACACCTTCCTGCAAAGGGCAAAACAGAAGGCGTGAGAGGCAAGAGCACCATCTAGTGGGGGGAAATAGACGTATGTTTACATAAGTATACATGGGTAGATCTGTCTTGTTCTGTATTTTTTTGTTGCATCTGACAATACAGTAGACCTTCAATGCATATACCAGGACATATCAGCACACTCATAAGTTATATATATATTTTATATATCTTATAACTGTGTAGCGTATAAGTCCATTTTTAGACCTGCAGAGAGTTGTGTGTATGAGAATGAGTAGATGTGTTCTCAGGAAATTCACCGACCTGCACAAACTCCAGACATTCTTTGATGTCCTTCATCTCTTCCTGGTAATCCTGGATCATCTTCTCCACCTTCTTGCGGTCCATGGTGGAGTGGAGCGTGTCCGTGATGTTGGCGGAGGCCGAGGTGAGGCCACCCAAAGTGGCCACGCCAATCCCGACGGCAGTGACAACGAGGGAGGTGCCGAAGGTAAAGGGGGCGAGGACCAGGCCACTGATGGTGACCACGCCCCCGGCCACACTGGCCACGCCCCCACCGACGCTGGCCACTACTGTGCGCTTGTGGAAGCCGTCGGCGGCGTCGGCCACGGAGAGCAACTCGTGGACGCGGCAGTGCAGAGAGTCGCTGTGCTGCTCCAGGAGACGCACGAACAGCTGGGCGGCCATGTAGACGCGGTCGGCTGCCTGTTCCACCGCACTAGGAAAAGAAGGAAAGAAGAGCACTAATCCAACACAGGACTAAGGGGGATGCTGGAGCTTATGCCAGACAGAACAGGACAGTGCAGGATGCCAATGCGTTGCAAGGCACATGCCAGCTTTGTGGCCATGTGTGGCTCAGTACGCTAAGCCCCTGCGTTTGTGATCAGAATTTCACCAGTTCAAGCCCAGCCTGGGCTCATCTGCAGGCTCCTGAGCAAGGCCCTTATCCCCCAGCTCCTTGGGTGCTGCAACAGCTGGCTGCTCTTCACACCCAGCTTACTCCCACATACAGAGAGCAGGGTGGGGGGGGAGGGGTGTGTAAAGAGAATTTCTTCATGGGGATCAATAAAGTATCTATTATTATTTCCCCCACTTAAGTGCAAGCGCGCTGAGACACTACACACTGTGGTGAGGTATGTTGACTGTGATGTTCGGTGTTCAGCGAGCAGGCAGGACGGGGAGAATAACGAATCAGATAAACGAAGATCCAAAGGTCGGGGCAGACGGGCAACAACACGATACATACGCCAATGACAGACCTGGGGAAACAGACTTGAACGCGGACTGAAATGCACAAGACAAGCCGAAATAACAGGAAACAGCTGGTTACAATCAGGGTTTCACAAGAGGTAAATGAGGGGCGTGGCACACAGGAGGAGTGGACGAGCTGGGAATGACATTGACATAAGACACAAAGTGCACATGTGTATTTTAAGAGGTCAAGTGCCCAGGCATTTCCTGAAAACAATGGGATATACTTGATACCTGAAGAGGTGAACAAGAAACATGCTATGTATAGCTATGCTGTCATTTGTGTTAGTTGTGTTTGGGGGCTGTCCTTCGCTGTAGCCTAGGCTATGTAAATAATAATAGATACGTTATTGATCCCCATGGGGTAATTGTCTTCTTTTTTTTTTTTTTTACGCCTCCCTCAACTTGCTCTTTTGTAGAGTAAGTTGTCCGTTATGGGCAGCCACCTGTATTTGCCACCACGGTATTTGCCAAATTTGCCAAGTCGACAATAATGGCACTGCACTTGGGTAATTTGAGGAATGGGACTCCCTTAGATACTTGCACTAAGTGAGTGAACACACCCGCCAAGTGTGGTAGCGTGTAAGTGTGTACTTGGTGGGGCAAATGGGACAAAGCCACACAGTTACCCACAATGGGCAATGTAGAGACACTGCACATCATTGGACTATCAGAGAAAAACCACAGAACACAGGTCCAACACTCAAAAAACATTCCAGACACCCAAAGTGGTGATGAGCTTCCTCTTATAGACACGAAATTAGTCTAATTAACAAACTATTTGTGTATTTGACCCATAATATTGCAATACAGCCTTTAAATACAGGGAAAAAAAATATTGGCCAATCATAGCCATAGAAGTAGTACCAGGTTAATAAAGGACAAAAATAACTGCAAGAATATTGATTCTTTTGCACAAAGTCAGCCAGGACAAAGACAGAAATAGAAGCAGAGAGTCAGGAGTGACGGAATGAGAAAGTGGAAATGAGGAGAGCACTTACACATCCTCCATATCCTCATGAACATTAATGGATTTATTCCACTCTTCCCAACCTGCCAGGTAGCAAAGAATGAAATGCACACAATACCATCGGAACCATATTCTCAATGATGACTCAGAAATTCTGAGGACTGCCATGACCAAGCCATACCCAAGCCGTACTTCTAGTTACAGAAGTGTCTAGTTACAGCTCGGGTACACCTTGGTTCCTCGTGGCAGTGGAAAAGCACCATACAACACAAGGTTCTAAAAAGAAAGGACCCACCTTCCACCCCTCTCCACCAATCCAGCAAGCTTTCACCATCCTGGGGAAAAGATGAGAGTCCTGTTCCTTACATTCATGCACACACTGACACCTTCACAATGACAGAATCCCTCCAAAACTTCGAGAATCATTTTGTTTATGTAGTCTATCTACTACAGCATTACAACTAGACTCAGTCATCTGCTGATCCAACACCACATCAGTCCACAAATGTGTCAGCCTGTGTGAGATCTACTGTTTATTATAATATTATTATAAAGAAACTGAAAGGTAAGGGACAGGCAGAGATGTCAGAAGACAAAGACCCACTTCCTCTGTGTCCTCAGAGGGTCTTGGATCACTATTGTTGGCATGTATCTTCTCAAAGTCCCCCTGGAAGACAGTTGTGTAAGAGCAGATATGCATTGTTATATTCTGCCTTTCGATACAGAAAAACATACGCAGATAATCTGCACATCTTCAAGAGCTGCCAGGGAAGGCAGAATATAGCCAAGTACACCTTTGAGTTTAAGGACATTAAAATGGTTGGCCTGAATGGGCAGACTGACCCTTGTGCTGCTCTCGGAGAGATTGCCAGTGCTGTCCTCTCGGGCTGAGAGCTCATTGCAGGCGGGTGTGTCCTGCAGGTAAATAACCAGTCATATACGCTCAGCCAACATTGAGGTGCTAATGTAGCAGCCTGCACAGATGAAGTTATATGTTGACGCAGAAACCTGTGTAGGTGAATAAAGGTTACTAATATGAAAATGCTTTGAATTTTTTAACTATTCCTCAGCCGATAAGTAAACAAATCGGGATTCATGTAAATGCTAATGATCAGGTATGCAAATGATTTAGATGAAAGTGACAATTCATCTTGGAAATTGTACTTGGTATAGTGTCAGTGTGGTATAACATCCATCCATCCATCATTTTCTAAAACCACTTGGTCCTACTCAGGAACGCAGGGCGTCCGGAGCCTATCACAGAGGCTACGGTTGCAACGCAGGAAACAACCCAGGAGGGCACGTCAACCCATCACAGGGCACACTAACACACCATTCAGTGTGGTGTAACACTATAGTGAACAAGCACATTTTGCTTCCTGTGACAGATAAGGACACATTCAGTTATAACTCCAGATCAATTTATTACTGTTTCAAATATCCATCCATTTTGCAAAACTACTTATTCAGAACAGGGTTACTGTGACCCTGGAGTCTATCCCAGGAGACACAGGACAGAATTTCTAGACCGAATTTGAATGAAGGACACCCTGCACAGAGACACTGATTCGAGTAACCATAAGCGTGAACATGCTATGCTCACACAGACAGGACGGGATCCAAACCCTAATTCAATTTAAACCTTATTGTCTTTATAGTGTTCATTGGTATGTATAAAATGATTTAAAAAGGGATAAGAGATGTGGGCACTCTAAAATGTGCAGATGTCACTGACTACAAGGTCAGGGATAACTAAATACACTGATCATCAGCTATCATTTGTCCAGGAATGAAAACAAGGGTGAATCAGCACACACTGTTTTTGAGTTTATTAAAGGTTATAAAGAAAGTCAATTCCTTTACTCTTATTCCGTTAACGATAAGCCGTCCTTGCTGTATATTTATCTATTGGGTGTCCCGAGAGAGCAAAGAAAATCAATGTAGAATCTGCGTAGAATGGCAATGCATTTACCTGCACAGGTAGGCGATTTTCCACTGGCAAGGGAGCCCTTCTGAATATTCTGCTCAACATTTCTATGGCTATTCCAAGAGAGAGAAATTAATTATACATCTAGCAAACTGGTGTGATATCGGGAAGTAAAGCAAGAATGCACATTATAGAATCGGACCGCAATGGAAAACATTCCAAAGGAAAATGCAGGCTTGTTAAAAATTAACACAACGTGATTTTACATGCTGGCCAGCACAGGCAAACAACAAATGACGACAGCCAGCTCCAGGATAAGCACACATGCAGCGTATCACAGGAGAAGCAGAAACTTTTAAATGGTGATACAGACAGTGATTTATTGACGTCTACTTTCTAATACAGCACTATTCTTTATATTGCACATTGTATCGCACTGCTGTTTGTCTTAACCTCCCATGCACGGCCCCCACCCCGGCAACTGTGGTACACGAGTGTCACTGTATACCCCGAATATGACAATAAATCCTGAAATCTGAGACGTCATATCTGCGGTATCCGTGGCCCGGAGAGTCACGTGAGCCACGTCATCCGTGTCCCATTGCGACAGATGATTCACGGGCGCAGTTACAATCCCTTCCTTGTTTGCTTTGCAGCAAAGCGGAACAATAGTGATTTCACGACTTTGTTTAAATTACTTGAGATGTATCTATGTGACCCAAAGTTACTGTGACAGAATATAATATAAATGATGTATGTAGACACTCGGATAACTAATAGGCCTATAGCAAAAAAAAACTTTTCCTAGCTCAAAAAATATAACAAAAGACACGTACAGACATGTACATTAATAAAAATACGATAGAAATACACGTACTATTTAAAAAGATTATATATTTAAAAACTTTAATACACACCTGTATTTATGCGTGCAGTACAATGTCCTGATAGCTGGCAGTCAAGCAAACTTGAGAAGAGCCTGCGGCGGATCCGGACGCCCGCTTCCTCAGCGCCACATTACAGAGGACGAACATGTCGCCACATTCAGGCACTGTCCCGCTGGATCCCAGCTTGCGGATTTCTGTGCTTGCCTGGGCGTATCAGACATATATATATATATATATATATATAAAAGAAGGCTCCCTTGCCTTTAGCAACTGAAACCTTCCCGCTTTACGAAAAAGATTCGTTATATTACTCTTAGTCTATTTAAGTTAGTTCATCTAGTTGATCTTCCTACAATTTTATGTAACACACTTAATTTACCTGCCTGGATATTCGTGTCTTTGTAAACCTAAATTCTCTTTAGATTAGGGAGTGGTTTATGGAGGGAGAGTGAAACCCTTGCAGCAGCCCGCAAAGTCTAGACTTTTTTTTCCTAGGGCTGGTAAACGCAGTTTGACGGTACACGGTAGCGTATAACAGACAACAAATACGTTTAAAAGGAATTAAGTATAATATGGTAACCGAAGAATGTGTTTTCCTTTCCACAAACACGCGGAAGACATTAAATTTCATGGTTTATGATTCCGATAAACATGACTTGAAACATGAAATTTTTGCCCTTTGGCAGGCTGGAAAGCTTGATATTTTCGCCTTTGGCTTCAAAACCACCCCGAAATACTGTCACCTGGAATTCCAACAGCTTTATAGCTTATTTCATATGTATATCATATCATTGTTCAATGTAAACTAAAAAACTGGATTGCGTTTCTGATTATTTAATACCATATATAATGCGGAGTTATTGTGGAATTAATTTCACGACGTTCCTTAAGGTTCTTCAAAGAAGTAAGAAAAATCATAATCCAATTATATAAAAATACGATAAATACAGAGCCGTTAAACAGTGGTTTATACACTTATGTAATTAGTGCCAGAGGTTTACTAGTTACCCACAAAATCTGGTGACTTTTTACTCTGCAGTCTAGGAAATAGAACCAGAAAAAAATATCTGAAGGAATATAGACCTTTCTAATCCTTCCAGTAAATGGTCCTTTAATAAATGTTTACAAAGGACTACTTAAGTATTTCAGTGGGCTGCCCTATCCGTTAAGTAATAATGACATGAGGAAGTCGTTCTAAGTGTTTTGCACACCAGGAAAACACAAAAGCCCCATTTTTTCTATGAGAATTATGAAACACAAGGAAGCTATAGTCACCCAAGTATCTATCCCTGAGCTAAATAAGGCACATGGCTTTTATGTTTTAAAAAGGCTGCTTTGTTTTATGATACGTGTGTTGAAGCATGAGGGAAAAAAGTTTCTGGGCAAAAGAATTGTTTTTCACATCATGATTCCTAAGTCAAAAGCAATTATCAGACACAACCTGAAAAGGATATAGAGTCATGGCATTCAGAATGTTCTGCCGAAATATTTATTGACCACACAAACTCAAGAACAAGAGACCCAGGGCAGGTCAGTTAAACCAGGTTTTCTGGTTTGCAGTCCCTGAGACGATTTGACAGCATACTGCAGGGAACAGATACCATTGGGGTTTTGTGGGTGCTAACCAATGGATGTCTCCAGGACAAGGTCTTCAGTGAAGAGCAATGGAAGAAGCACGGCATGGGGCTAAAAGACAAAAAAGAAGATCGAAAACAATCCTGAAAGAAGATGATCCAGCTGCTCAACACACCAGCTACCCAAGACAAGAAACCAAACAATAAGTCTGTAACACACAGTACCATGACGCCAGAGACAAGAACCAAAATTCCCAACAAAAACCCGGAGATGAAACCAATTTTACTAGCATTAGGTGTCAGTAAGTGAAGTAAGGATTTCTGGGTGTACATACATTCCACGAAGCAGGACTAAACAGATCCCTTCTGATTCCAGGCTCTTCAGAAACATCTGTGGGCAATTCCATGCAAAGGCCTGTTCAATGTCACATCAGTAACTCTGATAAAATGCTATGCCTTTCTAGCATGTAAATTAATAGATGAATTTTGAGGATTTGTTTATATTCAACCCAAAAGTTTACGTGACAAGATATGCAGATCGGCTCATTGATACTAAGCTTGCCCATTGTCATTGTGCTTGCCAATACTAGTCTAAGTGTCACATCAATTACCCATTTCATACCATTTCAGTCTTGACGGGAGGACTAAAGATTCATGTCAGGCGATATTAATGATAGAATTGTCGTCTTCGAGACTTGAAGTAGTAGTACTCTGAAAATCTATTCAAGTGCTTGCAGTCAAATAGTTTATTTTAAAAGAGCAGCAAATAAATATTAGTCATGTTTGTTAAAGGTGACTTTCAACTGTAACAGTAAGGAAAGGTAACAGCAACAATAAAGTACCACAGGAATGATTAACGCCAAACTTCAAGCAGCTCGTGGTAAACATGGAAACGCTATATTGTTTCTAGCTTATACAAATTAGAATTTCTAGTTTAGACTCAAAAAATAAGTTTGATAATATTGATGAGCCTTTGAAAGTGATCTTTGGAAGTGATATACTCTATATGCATTAACAGTCCAAAACAAGCCCTCTCTAATCGCTTCTCTAATTGGCCTCAAGATTGCCGCTTTACTTCCAGGAGGCACCGCGGTAACTCAGCTGCACCTACTGAATTCCTGCAGCTGCGCACGGATACCGTTCAGCTCCACCAGTCCGCTGTGAAGCTGCTCAGCCACGTCTCGGATCTTGGCAGCGAACTCAGATTTGGCCCCTTTCTTGAGTTCACACGAGTCCTTGGCCACAAAGTAAATGTCCATGGCCACAAAGAGGCCAGTCAGCACACCGGTGGCCATGCTGGCCAGCTGGATGGCACGAGTGGCGGTGCTGCCCGCCACATTGGCAGCCTGGGTCACACGCATGATCTCGGCAGCATTGCAGGCCACGGCCTTTCCGGCCATTGCGCCTTCCTTGTAGATGCTGCTCAGCTCGGGGATTTCTTGGCTACATCCGTGCTCCTTGATCTTCACCGCGTCGTACTTGCGGAAGCTGTCGATTCCCTGCTTGATGAACTTCAGGCACTTGCTGATGTCGGCCATCTTGGCCTGATAGTCCGCCACGATCCTCTCCACCTTCTTGCGGTCCAGTGAGTTGTTCACACTGTTCGAGATGCCGGCGGAGGCAGATGTGAGGCCCCCGGCCGTCGCCACGCCAAGTCCCACAGCGGTCACAATCAGCGACGTCCCCAAGGTGACAGGAGCCAGGGCCAGCCCGGCAATGGTGGTCACCCCTCCTACTGCACTGGTGGAGCCCCCCGTAATAGCAGCGATCTTCGCCCTTTTGTTGAAGCGATCGATGCCGTCCGCAATAGCGTTGAGGTCGATGACGTGCTGCCAAAGACCCTCAGCCCACTCCGTGAAGAGCTTGTTGAAGACGCGGATGCCCTTCATCACCCTCTCTGCAGTCACTGCAAATGCTCTGGGACAGCGGAGGAGCACGTAGAGAGAGAGAGAAAGTGGGGAGAAAGGGAAAAGAGGAGAGGGTGGTGGGCTAATTCAGACGCAAACACGCACGCCTCATTCCCACCAATGCAATGCCGGTGCTGGACTTTTTCCTGACCTGGAACTGATTCCACGCGTTTTCACCACAAAAAAACGGCTCCAGCACAGCGACGCAGAAAAGCTGGTCTCAGAATTTGGAACCATAACGTCAGCGAATGTGTGACGGCTATCGCGTCCAAAACGGAAAATTCAATCCATAACAAGTATAGTTTAATCTAATACCGTCTGTGCCAGCAGTAAAATAACTAGCCAGCTTATTAGCAGAATAACGTTACATCTTTTTTTTTTTACTCTGTGGAAAACAAAAGATTGACCAGCTGGCCAGATTTAATAAATTAGAAACATATTGCAGGTTGGGCAAATAAAATATCGTGGCGTTAAAATGGCAAAAAGATCCAAAAGCGGATACAGGCAGAAGAGACAGAGCGCAATGAGTCATACTCTGAAAACGGTGAGACGTAAAGGCTCATTTTTTCGGTTCAGCAGTTAGTAAAAACTGAAAATCAGGAACAAATGAAAGTAAACAGAAAAAATGAAATTCATATGAACATTTACTTTGTTCTCACTTCCACCTGTGTAACATTCCCATTCCAGCCCAGTACTGGCACTGGCTCCGTGTTGGTGGGAACGAGGTAACAGACATGCAGACACAGATACACAAACAGAAGCCACGCCAAATATGAACGCTTGAAACAATCCTTACTTGGTCTTTTCCTTCTCAGACAAATCAGCTTGCATAGGCATGTCGTTCCAGTCTAGGGAAGTCAAACAAAACGTCAGTGCTCCACCCTCAAGAGAAGCAGGTTGAGGTATATGAGACAGAACATTCACTCACGTTCCACAGTGCCCCACCACTCCATGAGGCCGTCAACATCCTGCAAAGATGGACATTATCCATGGCTCACATTTTATCAACATTATTATTAGAATCTCTCAAACACCAGGCCTTTGCTTGAAGATGCATTTGGCTTGATCCAAGATGGCACTCTTTCATTGACTCTGGTGTGCATGTATTATATCCGATTATGAACAGCTGCAATCTTTGCAATATTTTTAAATATCTCAAGAGGAGTATGGGCATGAATACATATTATTTATCAATATGTCTGTATTATTAAAATATGTCCGTGCACACTTCTGACCTCATTCACTTTCTCTGTCATTTGGTCTCGGCTAACCTGAGAAAACATAAAATATGAAACTCACACAAATGATATATTATTTTTACTTTCGTAAGGGAACAGAGATTCAGCTGACAACTACTTATAGCACTGTACCTCTACGTGGATCTGGTCAACATTTGTAGCTTTTGGATGCTTTTCTGTCCTTTCTTGCACAACTTTTCTCTAAAAAGATGAAACTTTGAAGCTGTGAATTCTGTGACGTATTTCACGTACATTTCTAAAACATACCTTCTGAAAGTCAACGTTACCATAACTGCTTTCTGCGGCATGAAGGGATTTTGCCATTTCTTCCCTTTCTTCTGGGACTAAAATGGACAAAAAGATTATAATATTATATTCTGCAGAGCAGTATATGTATCTGACTTGCACTGATTAGTACTGACATTGTAGTTTGAATGGGAAAGAGAAGATTAAGAGAGAAGAGACACCTGTCTGTTGTCCTTGGGTGGGTCTTCCTTTCTGTCCTGACCATCTGTCTTCTCTGCAGCTTTCAGAGTGACATCAGTGCTGCTCCCTGGAACATCTCTGCAACATTCCTGCAGGCAAGAAGCGTTTAAATGTGTTATTTAACTATGATGCAAAGTAAGAGCAAATACCAACAAGGTTGCACTATCCTGGTGTGACATTATAATCAAGAACCCAGCCTTGTTAAAATGATCTACTGCTGTTGTGGTCTTTGACCCTAAGTAAAATCACATCACAGCACCCAAACAAAGTGTAGATAACATGGCATTAACCAATCAGAACGTGAATAGTAGCATAACTACAATTTTCACTTATCTTACCAGAGTCAAAATGCATTGTGGTATTAACTTTTAAACTAATAAACTAAAAAAGATTTCATTGAAACAATTAATATATCCACACCATGGGCGTCGCCGCCATTAAACCTGAGGGGGACGTGTCCCCTCACATTTCATAGTTATTTGTTTGGACCCGCCCACACTTAGCATAAAATATTAGTTTTATGCCACCCCCCCACATTCAAAATGCTTCTGACGCCCCTGATCTACGCTCACTTTTAATTAATGGGGATCCCAGTTTAAGTCAGGATTCAAAATGAGTTAAACACCTGATAGGATCCGTTAGCATCAGTAACATTTCTGTCCTCTGCTGCCTTCTCAGTTTCCATGGGCACAACAGGACTCTTTGTTGGATATGAGTCTTGTTTAAAATATGTCTATTGGGAGAAAAAACAACACTGAAACTGCATTTTTTCCCCCCAGTTTCCGTTTCACATTAATTACACATGAAGTACACAACACATATTCGGATATTTCCATGATACGTGTGAATGACAGTGTTCAACTAAGAACAACTGGCAAATTACTAAAATTATTTTTTTTTAAATGAAAACTTGATGTTATGTATTAACCGATTTTCATTTTCTAACTGTTGCTAACAGACTGCTTGTATTTTCTCTACAAAATTGACAACGGGTACTAATAAACAACCCTAATGACACATACATTTCGCAGCTTGTGCTGTGGTGTCTTTTAAATGACTTTAAATTTGTTTATTTTTTTATGTAAATATTCAAAGTATTTAACGTTATGCTCGAATTAAACTCCCTTCTCAGACTACTGTTGCTGGTCACAGTATGAGAAAAAAACTACGAATGATCAAGCATCAAGCATGTTAAGCATGTACAGCATCTCCTATCTGCAGGAAACATCACTCTCACCTGAAACTTGTCCTCGACGTCGTCCATGGTTTTGTAGATGTCTACTCTTCTCTTGTGGTGGGCAAACAGAAATATCGCATTTCAAACCCGATTTTATTCATAATCTTATCAGTTATTCACTATCGTTTAAAAAGCCGCGCTTCAGCCGCTGTTATGTGACTTTGCGCACAAAACAAGAGGGAATATAGAGAACGATTCACAGGCACGAGAAACCAGGCAGTCAGTACAAACTGCACAAGGAGGAGCAAATTACCTTCGGGTTAATGTAACCGGCTGGGATTCCGGCATTAAGTAACTTTCCGTTATTCACTACTTATACGACTATACATTTTGACTTAATAATGGAAATCCTTCTGGTCTTCATAACCCAGATAACACAAGAAGAACATGCTTTCGCAACGTACGTGTTACTTCACAGCAATGGGGAATTCTAAAAAAAAGCACTTTGGTCGTCCTAAATGTCTCGGTTTCGATTTATTTAGTTTAGTAGCTCTTTTCAATGACGAAGTAGCAGATTCCTCTAAAAGTTTACCGTCTAACCGAAAGCACCATAGCACCTTGCTTTTCACGCCCTTTCCTTTATTCTCTTTCCGGAGACAGTGACGTTTCTGACGTTTTTCCCCCCGGCGTTATAACTACATGGGAGCCAAAAACAACACAACCCATACCCGGCTCCGGGTGACTCTCAGGCATCAACTCCGGCTGGGCGTACTGGGTGTCAGGAGCGACCGACCCGGTGCAATGACAACATCTGGACGGCTGGAGCAGCCTCGGCACGTCTATCGAGCGCTGAGCGGCGGTTTGTGCTCGGATAGGTCCTGCGTGGGGAAAAAGAAAACGATTTCAGTTTTTTTACAAATAAATATCAACATACCATAATTTGATTTTCAAGAATTTAAATGAAATGTTTTTAAAATCTGCTCGGAACTGCATAACGGGGATTTCAGCATTACATTACAAGCTACCCATGGGTAAAATGAATTATTTAAAGTTCATCTTGTCCTATGCAGGGTCGCGGGGGGTCCGGATCCTATCCCGGAAACATCGGGCGCATGGCAGGGAATAACCCGGGATAAAGTTCAAACAAATTAAAATGTAACACCCTCATGTGAAATTCATCTGTAGTTTTTAAGAACAAAGCACTAAAGATTTAGGCAAGCAGTAATATTCAGACGCAGTATTTTAATAAATTAAATATTTACACGCAAATGCAATATTCTAAGTCATATGAATAAATAATGACAAAGCGAACTGTCATTCTCATCATATGACCTCTGTTATTTTACATCAGACTTCAGTGGCAGATATGACATGCTGCGGAGTACAAATTAAATTTGTATTATCCTAAGTATTGTTACGCAATATATGTGAAACAGTTATACAGTGCATATTACACCTCTTATAAAATTACCATTCGGCGTGTCCTTCGCGTGGCGTCAGCCTGTGAGTTTGTATTGCGTTGTTCTGAGTTCCGTGTCGATCCTCTAGCATTATGGTCATTGTAGTTTTAAATGATTATTCATGAGCGAATTGTCTTGGTACTTTTAAGAACCCAGTGCACCGTGCTGGAAAAGATGAGCACAGGGACATGGGTGAGGGGAGTAACACAACAGTACCGAGAGTTTACTGGACCATTGAGACTCTGATAGTCAAATCAGTAGGGAGAGGCAGGTACACTGTAGCTAACGCGGAGCTTAAGGCCGATAACGCGTTACGATGCGTCATTCTGCTTAATGAAGAAAATTGGAAGGCGTGTAGAGACCATCTGGGAGGAACCGATGAAACAGCACGAGTCAAACCCTTAAAACAAAAAAAAAGCGTTCAGGGCAGGGACAAAGCATTCCTTTATTGCAAGGAATGAATATAGTATCGTTTTTCTTTCATGGCTTTCGTGACTGTTTCAATACATCATGGTAGCACCAATTTTAACTCTTGCTTGGTACAAAGTAGATCGTATTGCTCTCCACTCCTTCAGAGGTAAGAGGCAGGAGTCATATGAGAATTTGTGGCGAGTTTTTTTTTTTTTTGTGAGTCACCGAGCTGATGATTTACATCAGACAATCAGCCATAGAATAGTAACAGGAAAATATGGGTTTGGGAACTTTTCCACATTTGTCACCAAAACCTATTCATCTTTAATGACTAAACTGTGGAAGCACTACTGAAAAATGCATGAAACATCTTATTTGAATCTTTTATTGTCTTCAGTAAACTGTGACAGTCCACAATGCCATTTAATTATGATTACCCTGCTTGTATTTGTAGTTATTTATACAGCTTAAAATTACCTCAGCATCACCGCAGACTTTTATGATATACAATAGGACTCCGTGACATACTTTCAAGATTGCAACATAAGATTATGCAAAAATGTATTTCTGTTAGATGTAGTTATCAGGGGTTTTTCAATGGGGTGTCCAACGATTGTCATGGGGTAATACAAACACTACACTACAAGACATATTAGTATTAATATTAATAATAATAATAATAATAATGTAATTATTATAAACAATAAACAATACATTAATCATCTGACTAGCTCTGTGTTCCATTCCAATGTGTTTTAAGTGGAACATTTCTAACTAATGTAAAATATAGGTGACTGATTTAAAACGTGACAAGAATAATCAGGATTAAACTACATTTAAAATCAATTAAGGGTTTTACAAATATGTGCACTCAGGAGTGCTACAGTGCAGACCAGTTAACCCTGCAAACTGAGGGCAGGGCCTACAGTTAACGAACCGGCGGGGCTCCGCAACTTTCCATGGTTTCGCCTCTGAAATAAAATCTGTACGGCTGCGTTTGGGGAGCCTGCAGGGGCTGCTGCAGGTATCCAGGGTGTGGCGGGGGACACCCCTGGGCATCCCTTGGTGGCACCCTTGGTAGTCATCCCTGTAATTACCATCACCATTATTAGAAGTAGTTTTGAAAACATTTAATCAGTGCTCCTTTGTGACCAAGAGTTTTTGAATATAAACAACCTGTGTCCCATTAATTGCACTTGGATTGGGTGGTGACATGATTCAGATTTAAAAAAAAAAACAAAAACTGGATGGGCACTCTTCTGGATTGTGATTGGCTGTCTGTGGTCTCCATGGAATGTTTGAGCGTGCAGCCATTTGCTACGTGAAAAGGAAAATTCCTTAGGCATGCAAGGTCAGGTCAGGTTGGGGAGCATGTGCTGATGCCGCGTGTTGCCGCACACACTACATGGTGAAACTCCTCAGGATCCCGGTCGGTGATCCTCCAGGTGGATACATGGTCCAGTCCCACCCTCCAGAAATGGCCATCCATCTGCCTTAGCCAGGTGTTACGTGGGCGTCCCCTTGGCCTGTTCCAGCCACTTGGGTCCTCAGCAATGAGGATCCTGCGAGCCGGATCACCCTCAGGGAAATGCTCCACATGGGCTTAGTGCCGTAACTGACGCTCCCTCACAATGCAGGTAATGCACCTCATTCAGGACTCCTCTAGCAACCGCTCATTCGACACAAAGTCGAACCAGCGGTGCCAAATGATTCTCAGAAGAGACACAGTACTGAAGGAGTCCAGTTTTCGTCTCCGCTCACTGGATAGCGTCCATGTCTCACAGCCATACAGCAAGACAGGGAGCACCAGGACTCTAAAGACTTGGACCTTCGTCCTCTTGCAAAGAGGCATGCAAGGAAATACACAAAATATCACATACAGGCGCTATTAAAAATTGGACTTAAACTTAGACAAAGTTGTTTGGAAACAAAGCAAAAGTGTTGACAAGAAAGATGCACTTGAACCAATAGACAAGAAAGAGTCTCCCTTAAAAATATATAGATGTCAAACTCAGTGCTCTAGACAAACTAGCTACACACCTTGGAGCTCCTGTATGGTGGTGCCCATACAAATGCAAAGGTGGGAAAACCATTTCAGAAAGTAACTCTTATATCGCTCCTAAAAATGTTTTCCCATGGAACCCTAAACGCTTTGGGAAATTACATATAGAACAAGGAGGCTATATTATATAATAAAAACACGTGCATGGAATTTCCTGTAACCAGTGATATTTATTTCTAATAGTGACGTAATAGCAGCACATCAAAGGCAAGATAATCTTTCTAGTTCTAGCAAAATCACATGCTTTAAAGCTCTCCAGCTTTTAAAAAAAATCTCATGTCATTCCTGGCCTTCACAAATTAAATTATTACACCAGTCAATGAAATACGTTTATTCTTACTGTCAGTGCATGCCTTAGAAATTAGATAAACATTATTGCTATTATGTGCTCTATGACTTATTAAATTTGCAAAAAATGGAGAAAATTTAAATAGATCGAGTGTTAGTTTATAATAGACAGCTTTCACTGTATATTAACTTAATTGAGAAATACATAACATACTCAAGAATAACATTGCAATTAATCCCAGCTCTTGAGTTCTCTTGGCGTGTGTGCATGCACGTGGGCGTGTGCATGTGACGGTCACTCTCCCCACGAGAGCCAGTACAGCCGGCCGTGCTCATCCCCGCAGACAAGCTCGGTGGGGTGGCAGGGATTTACCTCAAGGCTGACAATGGGACTCTTACAATCAAAGAGACCAACCTGGAAAGGGAGGGACAGGCAACAGCTATTATGGAGCGGCAGACTTCACACCAAACGGCCTCCATCGGCTGGCCGAAGAATAGTATCTCGAAGAACAGCGGCCCCAAAGATCTTTAGCATCACTGAAAATCGCAGGGCTGAATCGAAAGTATTAAGATATCAGCTATTAAATCACGTTAACTTGTTAAAAGCAGGTGTGTCCAGACTTTTGACTGGTACCGTATATCGAAATATAAAACAGCTGCAGAAGACATCAACACCAGCGGAATAGCAGGAAGCCAATAAGCCTGAGAAGAGACATATTGTCCATCGCACCTGTTTCTTGGTCTGTCGCTCCCACAGTTTGACGGTGCAGTCGGAAGATGCAGAGATGATCGTGGTGTCCGTAATTTTTAAAATGTTCACTCGGCCCCCGTGTACCTGTGGTCGTTACGTCAGGTCAGAGCACGGACACGTGTGGCTGCACATGGCGATGACACGTACACCTGCCAGCACATCCCACTGAAGCAGTGGTTTCATGCCCAGGAGTCCTTACCCGTCTCTTCTTGGTCCAGCACATTAGTCTTGGTGGCGTGTTGAACCAGATATTCCCCTTGGAGTCTCCATACACAACAAACTCTGGAAGAAGGAGAAGGGAGGTCCGGGGAAAATGGCAGGAAAAGAGTCACGACCATTAGATTAAATTGACAGTTTATCCATCCATCCATTCATCCAGTACAGGGTCATTTGGGGTGGGGCTTGCAGCACATGCCAGGGGTATCCCGGGGATGGGATAGATCAGGGGTAGCCAATCTTATCCGCAAAGGGCCGGTGTGTATGCAGGTTTTTGGGATAACCTGTAGGTCAGCTGTTCAAACCCAGGTGTGAGGACTCTTCAGCCAATCAGTCCTCTAATTAGTAATCTAATTAGGGAGTTGCAGCGAAAACCCGCATACACACCGGCCCTTTGCAGATAAGATTGGGCACCGCTGGGATAGATGCATTGGTGGGTGGGTGGATGGATGGATCCATAAGTAGGGGAGTGGATGGATGGATAGATAGACAGATGGATTTATTGGTGGATGGATGAATGAACCTTAAAATTTTATGTGGTCCTTTTCGCTGTTTTGCTGATCCTGCTGCACCAGTTTGTATCTGAGGTTGATAAAACATCGAAAAGTACTTCTGATAGCAATGGACAGAAAAAAATAAATGAAATGAAATTAAAAAGTCTTGCATATAAGCCATCAATACTGGAGTACTTTTCTCATGGCAGCTATTGTAGGGCCCTTTCTGGGCTTAAAAGGAGAACATTCGGGTTAGGAATCTATCTATGGTTCTTGGTGCTTATAAATTGTATTGTACCAGCAGAAAACATTTGGCTGAGTTTTGAAGAACCGTGAGGCTGAAGGCCAACTGAGCATGAGGCTCGACCCCTACCTCCACCTGACGCGCCTGCTGTGCGTGAGACTCGACCCCTACCTCCACCCGACGAGCGTGAGACTCGACCCCTACCTCCACCCGACAAGCGTGAGACTCGACCCCTACCTCCACCCGACGCGCCTGCTGTGCGTGAGACTCGACCCCTACCTCCACCCGACGAGCAAGAGACTTGACCCCTACCTCCATCCCACGCGCCCACTGAGCGGGAGGCTCGACCCCTACCTCCACCCGACGAGCGTGAGACTCGACCCCTACCTCCATCTGATGCACCGGCTGTGCGGGAGGCTCAACCCCTACCTCCACCCGACGAGCGTGAGACTCGACCCCTACCTCCACCCGACGAGCGTGAGACTCGACCCCTACCTCCACCCGACGCACCCGCTGAGCGTGAGACTCGACCCCTACCTCCATCCCACGCTCCCGCTGAGTGTGAGACTCGACCCCTACCTCCACCCGACGTGCCCGCTGAGCGTGAGACTCGACCCCTACCTCCACCCGACACGCCGGCTGAGCGTGAGACTCGACCCCTACCTCCATCCCACGCGCCCGCTGACATGTAAGCGCCGTCGGTGTTGGCGTCACTGGTCTCCTCATCCTCGATGTCAGTATTGGAAATAGAGCCAGAGTAGCCATCAGCGGAGGCCACGAAAAACTGGGAAAGACAGGCAACATTAAGCGGCGGCTAAATACAGAACGAGCAAAATGGAGGACACATGTAGTAGGGCTATAATGGTACACATCATTACACATTACATATTACATATTACACATTACATATTCATTGTTTACCGTTTGGTTCAGTTCGGTTTTCAGTTTTCTTGATAGATACAAAAAGGTAATAGAAATCAACTATTTCAGTCATGAACTGAAACTTATGCAGATGTTTCAGAGCTTGATTTACAGACTTGCAAAAAACTTAAGAACATAAGAAATTTACAAACGAAAGGAGGCCATTCGGCTCATCAAGCTCGTTTGGGAAGCACACGCTCATCCCTACAGTAAGCTTACAGTCACACATTTGGATGGATGAGACCAACTATATGCAAAGGAAGAGGAGGAACTTACCAAAAAGCTCAGCCCGGGGGAATTAGAACTCTCCGTCAGAATCCAGGCGCTCATCACATTGTTGGCTTTTGTACAGAGAACATGGTTGCCGTGTATCCAGCTACTGAGTACAGAAACAGTCAAGGCGGTTACTGTGAGACGTGCTATGATTCCAGGAAAAGCTGCTCTCAGTTCTGTAAGTTTATCAGTACCACCCATTAGGTTGCATAGGCAGCGCGCACCCGCACACGCACACAGTAGGTGAAGAGGCGACAAGAAGATTGATGGTTCAAAACAAAGAAGCAAAATGTTTCAGACTGTCACTATGGCTGCCAAGGAATTATTTTTGTGATCACGATCAATCTCACGTCTTGGCCTGGGTCTTCAACTGCCCCAGAATGACGGATATATTGGGAAGAGTGAGTAATTTAACAGGAGAAGCCAATGCTGGAGACAGACCAACTGTTCACTTAAATCCTGGTTTGACTGCGGTCGATACCCAGGTCTGTAGGCGCTGGGATGAGCCATGGCTGATTCTGAAGATCCGGGTATTCACCGGGCGTTGTCAGCAACCATAGGGTCTAACCATCTCCAGGGAGCTGCCTGTGGAAGTGGCCGGTGCATTTTGGGGCAGCTTACCCAAAATAGAACTGCTCCAGCGTCTCATCGCCATGGACACCATGGACACCGTCATCCAGACAGATGCACACCAGCACATCGCTGCCGAATAAACTCAGTGCAGGGCTGCTTAACTGGACAGTGGACGCCTGACACATCCTGGGTAAGAATAAGTGGAGGGGGGGGGGGTCAGAAGACAGACTTCAATGTTTGCGATCAGGCCAAACCGTGTTCCGAGTCAACCCAAAGGTTTACCTTGCCGAGCTGAGCTGGGGATTCCAGTCCACTCTCCACACAGAGACCGAGCCGTCCAGAGAGCTCACGGCAAACTTCTCCTCCGTCATGAACGTCATCGCCAGCAGCATGTGGTCCGTTACCTGATGAAGGCAGCGGGGTGAAATACAAGCGTTCAAAGAACTGAGACGTCCCTGAATGACAGAGAGCCATAAGAAGAACCGTGAAGACAAAACTGCAACAAGTCACTGTCATATATTCCGCATACAAACCAGTAAAATATACCCCAATGTAGGAAACAAAAGAGTAACTACACCTCACATAAAACATTTCCAAACATCCAGTGGGCTCACATTCACATTTATTTCCAGCATCCTGAACCCCAAGGACAGATGGGGGTAAGGGCCTTGCTGAGGTCTTAAAGTATCCCCGGGCATCTTTCGAAGGAGCAGGGGTGGTACAGTGATGCCCTGCCTAAAACTGCCTGCTGTGGCCCTATCAAATCGGGCCTCCTAATCACCCCCTGTGTCTAACTGGTGAATTCCCTCCTGCCTCTTAACCACTTTAGCTACTGTGTGATGAGTGACTGGCACAGATTGGCTGCCGTCGCATCACCCAGGTGGGGGCCACACAGTGGTGGTGGCTCAAGTGGCTCCCCATTGGTTCTGTAAACCGCTTTGAGTGTCTTGAAAAGTGTCTCATTCACTCACTCATTCACACATTCAAGGGTTCAATAGTGATACGATCACTCTGCCAGCCCTGGGATTCAAACCCATCACCTATTGTGTATAAGCACAACTACCCAACCTGCTAAGCTACACACCAGACCATGTATAAGGGACTCCGGTGACACTGCGCATGGTGAATTACTCCGAGGATGAGAGCAGTATTGCTGAAAAGTTACCCGTCTGCGGCACAGCAGAGTGTTCTCGTGCCACAGCGCCACTCTGCCGGTGTCGAAACCCAGCAACACCAGGCGACCGCAGGGGGACAGACACAGACCCACAACAGCCCCGTTCTTGTCGGCGGAGTTCTCTGCATGTAAGCAGCAAAACGCTGGACATTACCATGACGTACCACAGATGTAACAACTCACAGCTAAGGTCACAAAAAGTATGAACATCAGCCAAATGTCAGTGACTCCACTTCAAGGAAAGTGAACGATTACCAGCGTATTGCTCACCCGCTGCTATGTCCAGGGCCCAGGACCTTAGAGAACAATCTTCAGAAATGGTTAGCACTGCTTGGACCCCATCCAGCATTCTGGCTGCACCCTGAACACCTCGGCTGTGACCCGTAAGAGTGCCGTGATGTTGCACCTACCCACAGCGAAGCCATTCAGTCAGTAATCGTAGCTGTTATCACATATTCATTAATATTATACGTATCAGCAGTTAGCATGACACATGGAGGACAGAGGCAGTAATTAAAACACTGCAAGGGTCCAGACAAAGATAAACAACGCAGTACACTGGAACCTGCCTGAAAAGGCTGCCATAGTTTCACTGTCCCGTCTTCTGATGCCGTGGCAACAAGCAAATCCTCCTCCTTGACCTCGTGATCCACACCAGTATCTGTTCATCAGAGGGCGACCACAAAAATTTGTCGACCAAGTTCGATGTCGCGCAAGAAGCTGGTGCACAGTTGGTTCAAGTTAGATTTAATGACTAAGTGTTTGACACTGTGTGCACATCACTGGTGGAATGCAGTGGAATACCAGTGGAATGCAGCACGCCGCACTGATGGATTTTCGAATGGTGCGCGGGGATCCGGGTAACCTCCACCCCCGACTTCCAGTTCCACAGCAGTAGCTCGCCGCCACTGGATGCCGCCATTATGAACTGTCCCTGGAACCGGTCAAAGCCGACGCGATCAATATGGCAGCTGGCCGGCGGCGGCATGGCCTTGCACGTGGGGATGCCCTCGCGTTAGGAACTCACCACACTGCAGACCGAAGTCAGGGACACGCTCCCCAGAAATTCCCGCACTGACTGACCCCTCGTTAGGTCCCACAGACGCACCCTGCAGTCCACAGAGCAGCTCGCCTGCTCAGAAAGGGGAGAGGGTGAGAGGACTCAGCGATGTTGAGAAATGCAGCTTCAAGCCCGTGATGGTGGGATTACTGTGCCTCATTATCTGCTTCCTTATCTATCTGAATAAGCACGCGGTGGGAAATACGGTAAAACTGTCAGACGTCCAGCGCATGACGATCCCACTCACCAGGGATGGATATCTGCATCATGTTTCTTCATGTTATACTTTTATTCTAAGCACATATGCATCTGAACTGAACTGAGTAAGAGAAAAGAGGAGCCACTGGCTTGCATGAGTGAGTAGGCTGGGCCAGATCATCCATCAAACCTCACCACATGGTCCGCGGTCCAGGCACAGCCAGTGATCCAGTCCCCATGACAGTGCAGTAAGGACTGGGAGAGAGTGGGATGGGGGGAATCAACGTCCCAAACCAGGAGAGCCTGAAACAGAAAGGTACAGATCATCTTCATCATCACTATCATCATTATCACCACCACCACCATGAACATCACCATCACAGCCATCACCACCATTATCACCATCGATCACCACCATCATAACTATCACCATCACAACAATCACCAACATCATCAAGATCATCACAACCATAATCATCACCATCATCACCATCATTGCCACCATCATCATTAACAGTTTTCATCTCCATACCTGGTCTTTGCCTCCTGACAGAAGCTTATCCCCACTGGGGCTGAAGCTGAGACATGTGACCCCCCCTTGGTGCCCTCGCAGGAGAGATACAACACTGGGACTGGAGGGATTCTCAGCCAAATCGCCCAATGACCACAGAGCAATGGTGAAGTCCTCTGAGATAGGAAGAATAAATCAAAGACAGAGAGGTGTTCATTTTCATTCATTATCACTAAGCTTTGTGTGACGGGACGTCAGAGATGTTGTTGGGTTTCTTCAGTTACTGTCTGGACTGAGCCGTCACCTGAGGCAGAAGCCAGGAGGGACGGGGACTGCGCCATGGCAACGACGGCTCCCTGCTGTGTCCCAAAACAGCCTTGCAGCTCCAGACTGGCCTCCATCCGCTTCCACATCCTCATCAGTTTGTCTCCACCCCCTGTAACCAAAAGCTCCGCCTCCTTTTGGGTCCCGATCCACGCAAGGCACTGCACAGACTCGCTGAATTTCTCACTGGTCCAAAGCATCTCACCTGTATGGACGATCAGTATTATGCTACAGTTGCGGCAAAATCTGCGCTTCTGACCGATGACACTGAGAAATCCTCACTATAGGACGCACAGTGACACAAACATACCCGACTCCTCCAAAAACAACTTTAGGCCATTGCCATGGTAACCTACAGCCACATGACCCCCAGCAGCGGACAAACAAAGGGCTTGGGATTCGGACAGTGTGGAGTGATCGGAACTCGTCTGCAGGAGAAAAAGATTTATGCGGATCAGTAAACACTTCAAAAGTTTGTTATCGGTAATGGATAAGGATCAAAACTGGGACTAGAGCTGGACACGATTCCAACCTTTTCTTCTCCGAGCTGACACAGGAACCTTCCAAGAACCCCTGACCAAAGCTGGACCTGTGAGAAGCGGGAGACCGTTTAAAGGCTGCTACCTTTCCACATAGACCGCAGTAAAGAGGCTGCTACCTTTCCACATAGACCGCAGTAAAGAGGCTGCTACCTTTCCACATAGACCGCAGTAAAGAGGCTGCTACCTTTCCACATAGACCACAGTAAAGGACACAGTTCGCCATAATTAGTTTTTCGGGTCCCCGTTTATCTCACCATGCTGTCAGCTCCCCCACTGAGCAGCATCCGCCCCTCCTGCACAAAGCTGAGCACCTCCGTCGATCCCCGGTGAGCCTGGTAGCAGCCCACACAAGCGTTGGATGGGAGGGACCACATCCGCACTTCCCCAGACAGGGATCCGGAGGAGAGGTGGGCCGTGCTGGGAGAGAAGCACAGAGTTCGCACAGACTGTTGGTGGCCGGACAGTGTCTGGAAGAAAAGCAAGAACAGAGACATGGGTTCAGGAAGAGAGAATGAATAGTACAGGTTGAGGAAGCTGAAAACAGCACAGAAAATACAACTCAGTTAACAGGGTGGCCTCACACAATTCCACTGTATATTGTACATAATAAAGTACATGTAATATGCACATGTCACAGGATGTCATATCTTATGATGCCCACCCCCCCCTCCCAAAGACTTACAGCAGTGATCTCCCCAGTGAGCCAGTTCCACAGACGCACCCCCCCATCCCAGCCCCCGACTGCCAGAATCTGTCCCTCGGAGTGGAAGGTTACACAGTTCAGCGGAGAGGGGTTTGTGAGCGTGGCAGCGAGTTTTCCTGTTTGACATGTCCACACCTGGAGCAACGCGCATTGGGACAAGGCACAAGACAAATGACTAGGAGGTTAAACATAACACTTTTGCTGTTATCTTAAAAAAGCAACTTGCAGGACATATTTTGTAAAAGAAATTTCACGGGGCATCCAAAGAACTGTTCCTGTGAGCCTAACCTTAAGGTTTAAATCCAAAGAGACTGTGGCAAAGTGTTTCTTGTCTGCACTGACATCACTTCCTGTAATCCAGTGGGAGTGTGCATCAACATGGACAACCCTTGAAAGACAAAAAGGCAGTTCAAAATATTAATTACTGCGGTAGATTACTAAACCAGAGACACAGACTGCTGGTGTTTTTGCACGCTGTTTATTCACAATTTTTCGGCTGTTCACTCCTACCTACAGCCGCTGGTAATGTCCCATATTTCTATCTGTCCATCGAAAGTGGTGGAACCCAGGAGCCTCTCATCCAGGAAGATGCAGCTGGAAATGCCATCACCACTGCTGAAAAGCCACCTCAATTCCTGTGAGCGCCATTAGGCAGGATACAGTTCAAACATGTCGTTCATCCTTCGTTTTAGACCCCCATCATTCTGCCACTGGAAGATAGGATTTGTCTGGGTGAGAGATGTGGAGTCACAGTCTTACCTGTGCTGTCTCCGAGTCAAGGACGTAGAGAGAGCCCTGTGCAGCGCCCACAGCCACGACCGTGGCGGAGGGACTCACGGCCACACAGGTGGGCTTGGACAGGAAAGTGGACAGCAGCTGACTGTGGGAATATGAGTAGAGGGAGTGTATGCATGCGTGTGTCTATGCACAAGTGTGTAAATAAGGCAGAAAGTGCTCATTATGAAAAAGCAATGATGTTAAATACACCAGAAAGTGCAAATCCTGAGTAGCAACTGAATTAATAATACCGTGATAATATTCTTCATCACCATCATCATCATCATCATCATCATCATCATCATCATCATCATGCAGACATATATAAGGCGTTTTCACACTGCTGGAACTTTTCTGGAACCAGAAACTTTTCCTGGAACCAGGAACTTTTGTCATATTCACACCGCAGGAACTCAACCTGATTGCAGTTCCAGAACCTTTTTTTAGTACCTACTCCAAACTCGACACTTTTCCTTGAAATATAAGCTACTGGGAACTGATATCTTGCTGACTGGTTCACCAGAAGTACCGGTGGTAACAAAATTACATGGAAGTGCACAAGAGAGCACAGATGGAGCTATTTTTGTACTTCAATTATATTTAATGCATCAATACATACATGTTTTACTCACGTTTTCGCATTTCTGCAAAATTCCATCGCAATTTCTGTTACGAACCCCAGTCTAGGGTTGGGGCGTAACAGCAACCAATATACTTTTGTGTAATATCTCTGGTGTCAGCATTGAAACTAGTCAGCACTCATTAGCGGGATAACGTTACACATTTTTTAAATTCTGTGAAATACGAAAGATCAAACAGCTGGCCACATTTACTAAGAATCATGTCGCGTGTCCATCCATGCATCACCGTAACCGCTTAATCCCAACTGGGGTTGCAGGGGGGACCGGAGCCTATCCTGGGAACAATGGTTGCAGGCGAGAACCAACCCTGGGCAGGTGCCCACACACCGCAGGGCACACACATAATTACAGGGCCAACGTGGAGTCGTCAATTAACCCATCATGTACACTTTTGGACCATGGGAGGAACCCAGAGCCCCCAGCAGAAACCCAGGCGAGCACCAGGAGGGCGTGCAAACTCCACACAGAAAAGACCCGGAACCAAACCCAGGACCTTCTCGCTGAGAGGCAGCAGCGCTAACCAGTCATACAAGTAAAATATAAATAACAGGCTGTGTCCCATTTTCATTGCGTTCAATCCCCCTGATAACTAACAAATAATTAACAAAACGGCATATTTATCCTCCGTTGTTTTGGTGTGGCCAGGTAGTTTCGTATGAAATTATATGTGAAGTTTAACCTGCAAACTTCTTGCGCCTCTCATGGCTATTTAGCATAAAGGTCCCGGTTCCTGATGTGTGGTGTGAAAGTGAGACATCAAAGTGGCCAGGAGCTACGAAAGTCCCCAGCCGAGAGGGACCAGGGACTTTTTAGGTGACTAAAACCGCTAATTACACGTGTTACATGCGCTCCGCAGTGGCGTCACTCACCTGGTCTCTCTCTGCAGATGTTCCGGTTTGTTCCGCCACCTCATCACACGCATCCCTCCGCCCGCTTGCCGACGCCCCCTTCTCAAGACGCCTTCGGCCCAAACGTTGGGAGCTCCGCCTGTCGGCTCATTTAGCGCCCCCTGCAGGAAGAGGGCCGGCCACCGGGACAGGAGGGCCGCGTTGCGCAGCAGGAAGTCGTGGCACGCTTCCAGGTTGCCAGGGACAACGGCTGCCATGGGAACCAAAAAGGTCAACTGCAGAAGGTCTTTGAAAGCAAGTTCTTCAATCTACAACTAAGAATCGGTTATGTGTTATTTGTTAAATAAGACCGTATTTATGACTTTGGTCAAATCACATTTCAGGAGCATTTCATTTCATCCAGGTAATTCCAAAGGGTTTAACAATAATAAAAGAGATGCTGATTATCAGCAAGAATCAGGTTGAGCAGAAAGCATTATAATCCGTCCACACCTTGTACAACATTTTTCAGAACTCCTGAAGCAGCAATCATGCATGAACTTTTATGCACACACATGTCTTTCTGGAGAATTAATAAAACATACCTGAGAATTCACTGTATTCACGCGACTCTGCTGTCATTTCTGAGTCACTGCCCTCACCTCCCTGCGTTAATGCTGCAGTTATATGATAATAAAGGCATGTGATTATTATCCTGGGCTGTTGTAGAAAATTCATCACGGCACAGAGGGCCTGCTCACCGAACTCTCTGTACGTCTCCAGCAGCTGGTGTAGGTGACCGTGCCGCACGTTGGCATACAGGAAGTCGAAGTTGGAGAGCAGGGACCGCAGCGCCTCCCGGTGGCCACCGCTCACCTGAAGTAGGAAGGGGAGACGCGGGACGATTAACCGGCACTCGGCGTTGGGCAAATTTTTGAGGTTTGCAGCAGCCAAGGTTGAGGTCAAGGTCAAAATGATGCAGAGGCTGAGATGTGGGATATCAAGGGTGCAAGGATGACAGGTGAGGTCACCAACCAAATGGGGAAGCAGGTGGTCAAGAGCATCCACATCACCGTACAGGAAGGTGTCCGTCCCGTGCGGGTCAGAGAGCGCCCAGAGGTGTGCTGGGAATGACAAACATCAGGAACACATCTGTATAATGGCTGTTTAATTCCGGAATGTGCGGGTAAATGTGCTAATCTAATGTGTCTAGGTTGACAGATATACTGTAACACTAAATTCCCTCACCTGCCAGTAAGCTGTGAGCTCTGGACCTGTCAACCTCTTTTGACAGAAAGAGGTCCTCGAAGGCCAATCTGATCTCCGGATTGGACAATGTGAGCCGGTCGTCTGGCCCTTGGCAGAGGGACTGGCCAATCAGACTGCAGCAGAATTAACATCAAAGCTTTCGTAAATATTAATCAATGGACACTTTGGTTACTTGACGCAATACTCCTCCGATCGACTGCTTGGATGCTGTTTGTAATCACATAGCCGTACCTCTGTAAAGTCCGGAATAGCTGAGAGAAGACGGCCATGGGCAGGGGCTGCTGTGGCTTCCTGGCCAGGTGAAGCATTCTGCCCCATGTGACCGGCTCACTTCCTGTCGACAGCTCACTGCACATGCTCAGTAGGGCATGCAGGTCTCCCTCCCTCAGGCCTGGAACAGAGCAATGAGAACCAGCCAATGAAACACTGATATTCGGATGTTCTCCTGCAAAGGACTTAGTTATAAAAAAAAAAGATCAATCAGTATGTTACTCAACTGCACTGCATGTGATTATGGGTTTGCATGCTGTGCAATTATTTTTGTGCAATATTGTTTTATTGTTCTTAACCTTTATTTATTCTATTTTGTAAAGAACACTCCTCAGTTCAATTCTACTCCTTTAACCTCTGCATTGTATTTTAAGTTAAGCCTTATTAAGCCTTATTTACATTTTTTAACTTGCATTTTTTTATTCCTGTAAAACACTTTGAATTGCCTTTGTGTATGAAATTGTGCAATTTAAATAAAAACTGCCTTGCCTAATATACGGGTTATGACAGTGTTTCTGAATCCAGTCCCCAGAGACCCCTAGACCTCCCCACGTCTCCCCAGCTCCCCCCCCCCAGACTGCCTAGGGGTCCCCAAAGACTGGTTTGGGAAACACTGAGTTATGATAAAGTATCTGTGTGTGCACATGTGTGCTTCAGGGAGTGTTGCATGCTGGGAGTGCAGTGTGCCAGTGATCTCTGGTCCACCTGTGCTGCTGACGGCCAGAGCCCCCATGGTCCAGGCCAGTCCCACTCCTCTGTACTGGGACTCCATCCGGGAAAGACAATGTCGAGCAAGCGCGCTCAGCGACTGAGGAAGAGACTGCAGGCTCTCCTTCATCTGCAAACACAGCGACAGCTCATTCTACTCCGCTTCGGGGGGGATGCGAATCGTAAAGGGTCACGTGACCGGACTGACTGTACCATGTGACCCCACTGCCCTTCGGACTCTGACCTTTTCAAAGACAGCGAAGCTCCTCAGCTCCTCACAGGCGAGATGCAGGTATAACGGACTGATGGACCCTTTCTTCATCAACAGGGTCTGCAGCTGTATGCAAAAAAAAAAACAACGATGCAGTAGAGAAAGGCAAAGAGAAACACGGAAGCCAACACACTTTGACATTATACATATAATATCTGAACGGACCTGGTTATTAAAAGCCGCCCCGCTAAGCTTCTTCCCATACACAGCCAGCTCTTTCTGAACAATCTCCTTTTTATCAAGCAGAGACAGGTGTCCCATGGGAAACAGGATGGTCCCCTTCTTCTTGGCCAGGGTTTCCCGGAGGACCGAGTTTGATGTGACGCTCAATACGACAGACACGCCCTGCGGAAGCAACCAGCAAAAGGAACAACGGCAGGGTCAGGTATGCAGTAGGCACACAGAAAGCACTGGCTTCGCCATGAATTCACAGTACCTGAGGGAGGCACAGCGGTATCCAATCAGATACTAGCTGCCCTCTGGCATCTTGAACTAAGTCCGCCCCATCGATCAGCAAGGCAAGTGTTTGGCTACTCTTGGCATGGTCAAACGTACCAAGCAGAGAGTGGAATTCCGTCAACAGGCCTCTACAGCAAAAAGAGGAAACGTAGTGACTGAAAACTCTTAATCATAATACAAAATAATACCTGATCTGACTGTATAATGCAAAAGAAATCTTTTTATCAAACTTGCCATCATCTGAATACGTAATACACGCTGAAAAAAAAACTCTAATTTTTCTGTTGATTTAAGAACACATAGCATGAAAAATATCATCACTGGGGAATGTTTGACCTCCGATGACTGGACGTACTTATAATTAGTACGGAGCGAAACCTCATCGTCATGCTTTCCCAACCTCTTCCTCAGGCAACAGATGAGGCAGCGCAGTAACTGCTCTACTTTGTAAGCGGTCGGGCTGGCAGCAGTGAAATAGGAAATTACATCACATTCAGAGCCTTCTTTGGATTGGCTAGTCCTCAGGGCATCAGCCAATGCAGCCTGTTTGAAACGTACAGGTATAAATAAAGGGGATTAAAGGGATTAGTTAATGCATTTCCATTTTCAAGTTTTATTTGTCACATACACAATGTTTTACTAGCATCACTGTGCTGTAAAATGCCTTCCTGTGTCGTGGATTGTGCATGACGAAATGTGCAATACAAAGGGAACAATCAAAGCAGTCAAAAACACAAGAATAAATAACAATAAACTTAAGATATACGTAAGAATAAAATGACTATGAAAATAGTGAGAAAGACGGGAAATATGAGGGTGTGAGTACATTAAACAGGAGGAAAGGATTTTAAAAGACTCATTTGTGCTTCTGGGAACGTTCAGTCATTCTTTGATTCAAATTACTATTGTGGATCTAACAGATGTATTTACCATAAACACAGTCTTTCCATCTCCTGGACCTCCTTCCACTAGCACCAGCCCCCAGCCACCTCTGCCCTGAGCTTCCTGAACGTTTGATATTGCCGCGGCGACCAGCTTGCCCCGCCCATGACACTGCCTCTGCTGGGCCTCCTGATAGGACTCCTGCTCTGAGACCTCCGACATGGGGGCTATTTCGTCCACATCCTGTGAAAACAGACGCTTCTCATTCCCTGAAAATGCTTATTACTTTAGCAGAGCGTTAGTGCCCCAAAGGCGTTTCTACATTCAAGACCAGGGGCCTATATCATGAAGCTGGATTTCTTGGCTGGAAAACTTGGCGGATTTAAGGTTCCCTAGTTTAAACGGACTTCATTGTCATTCACTTACATTTAGTGCCGACTACCTTAAATCTGGCAAGTTATCCAGCGAAGCAAAAAATCCTGCTTCACAATACAGGCCCCAGATCTGAAGAACGCTTGGGCATGGCCTGAGCCCACACAGCTGCCATGACAGTCCACCCCAGATTGTCCCACCTCAACGTAGAGCCTCAGCAAAGCTTGCCACAGGTCTTCAACCACCGCCCTCTCAAACTCCTCCAGACCCTTCAGATGGGGTTTTCCATCCTGAACACCAGCCCATTCACAAGGGTAACTGAGGCAAAGACAAGCGAAGGCGCAGAGAACAAGATAGCTAATTTTGTCTTTTATTCTTGTCTAACGAAAGAAAAAGAGCCAGCTGGTAAACAAAGCATATCATGCTTAGAGGAAGATCTGAATGCCGAAATAGCTGCTGTTTCACTCCTTTACCAACACAAACATAAGTAAGAACATGCAAAGATGCACAAATTAACTTTCTGAAGGGAACTGACAAGCAAAAAAAAAAAGCAGGCAATTTTTCAGCTAACTGCTGCATACGCTGCCCCCAAAAACCGATCTTTTGATAATGGAAGATGGATAAATAGCAGAAAGAATAAACTATCATCATGAGGATTAAATAGTCGATTAACCACCTGCTGTATCCATGATCATCAAATAAAAAATTTGCCCTGTTTTTAAAATTGGGCTTCACACCAAATTCACGAGCGTGATCTTACTCTGTGGTCACTTTTATTCCTTTAGAGAGTATTCTGCTTTTAAGGTCTGACATTTTGGATTCAGCCTCACTGGACTCTGCAGCAAATTCGGCCCGCCATGCCACAGGGACGGACCTGAGGAAAAAACACACCAACACAGAGGAAATTTAGGAGGAACCATTGAAGATGTCAGCTGTGTTCTTTATGCTGATGTACACATGTCCATAGCTTGTACATCCCGCAACATACAGGACCAGTCAAAAGTCTGGAACAACTTTTAATGCATTTGCCTCTATTTTAGCTACGTGATTCAGCTTATAGTAAAAGGCTTCAAGACAATGAAGTGATGCATATCAAATACTGCAACAACAAAGACAGGTGTTCAACATCTCAGAACCTTCTCAAACTTTAGACTCTTCAAACTTGCCCCCTTTTGCTTCAACAAGCACTGCAGTCTACCAGCATTCTTTCAATCAGCTTCCAGATGGAATGCTTCTCCAACAGGCCTGAAGGAGGTTCCACAGTTTGCCCTTACTCTACGCTCCACCTCATCCCAAACCAGCTCTGTAGGGTTTTGGTCAGGGAATTGTGGGGGCCAGGTCATCTGTCACGGCACTCCATCTCTTTCCTTGTAGTTACATAATCTCTATGTGTGCCTAGGGTCGATACCTTGTTAAAAAACAAACCACAAACTCCGGACATCTGACTGGCATATCTGACCTGGAGAAGGGCACATACAAGTGGAAAACTGCAAAATGCTACGCACTTGGAAATGTGTGGGGACCGGAAGTAGAACAGCATGCGAGTCTGAGCAGAGTCCGAGTGGACGGCCTCGAACTGACGGATCTCCATTTCGGTGATGGACAGCCCAGGCGAGGTGGATTCCAGCTGAGGGAAAAAAAAGAACAACATACCCAGAAAGAGAGTGATGAACGAGAAAGATGAATGTGCATCATTCACAGAGCGTATTTTGCATTCCCAAAGCGAGAAGAGGAGGAGTCACATGACACAGATGGAATGCTGCCGGGCAATTCCCGGGCCGCCGGCGGCGGAACTTACCGGAGCATTCGTCAAGGAAACCTGCGGATCTTTGGGGGATGCAGGAGGCAGAAACACAGCTAATATTCTACACCCCAGATGTTCCCATAAGGGAATAATATTAGTTACCTCATGATGCTTTGAACAATAATATGCACAGAAATGGTCAGACGTCTTTTCTAGCTGACACATTACTGCATATCGCATGTATATTGCGACATCACAGCGGGCACACATGCCATAGTCACACCGAGAAAGGATGCGATGCAAAAGAGATATTAAAGATCATTTTAAAACAATAAAAATATCATCATTTAAAACAAAACTAGCACTATTTACAATGCAGTTTCGCAACTAACCAGTACTGCTCTATATGATAAAACGATTCTGTCTGATACAGGACTACAAGCTGAATGTGCAGCCGGTTGGCTTCAGTAACATGAGGATTCATAATAAATAGATTTGAAAGTGAAAATGAAAGTGAAAGACCTGTAGGCTGTTTCTCCCCATTAGTCGCTCAATCCCTTGTAATTCGCTTGATTAAAAGGCAGAGGGCGAGAGCGAGCACACCGCGTCTTACCCAACGGTACTGCGGCAGGTCTGGCAGAGCCGGCCGTGGGGGCACCACACCATACCGCTCTCCCAGAACGCCCAGCAGCAGCTGGCTGCGGCAGACCTCGGCCAGGCAGAGCTGGGCGGCGCGGCTGGCCTCCTCTTCCGTCACGCCCCAGCGCAGGTCCACCTCGTGCACCCAGAGGCCGTAGGGGGCAGCCCTGCGCCGGAGCTCTGGGAAGACGCTGCGGACCAGCACGTCGCGCTCGCTGTGCATGTCCCGGAAAGTGGAGGACACGAACACCCGCACCCCTTGCCACCTAAACCAGGACGGAGGAATCATATATCGATCAGAAATGAGTGATGACGCGTGTGGGTTCATCAGCCTCCATGTCTGGTAGGCGAACAATGACCAGGTGTGGAGGGAATTTACCGTAGTTTTGGGGTGGCGGGAATGGGGGTGAGCGTGGGGCCTCGTCGAACCCGATCTCTCCCGTCCGCAGGCGGGGGGACATTGTGGACCTTGTCCATATGATCCACGTGGTCCAGAAGCCGAGATGAGCCTCTTTCTGCCACAAACCTGGAAGAAGATGGAGACGGACGTAAATAACATCCAGTGCGGAGAGAGAGAACGGCAGGACACTGAAAACTGCAGGAAAGATGTTCAATATATACTTCTCTTTATATAACGTTACATTAAATGTCCAGGACAGACGTTCTGTATATAATTCCTCATATTTAAAATGACAAATACTTTTGTATATGTTTCAAACTATTTTATGAGAAAGCAAAGACACAAACACTGCAAAAAACAGCTAAAATATAGATATCAACAGAATCAATTGCATTACTGCCAGTGTAAATCTAATTAATTGCTTTAAAATCAAGTCACATATCTTGTCTCAACCCGCATTCATGTGTAGTACAAAGGATTATTTCTTAAAACACTTCAGATACTTCATCACCCTGAACCTTTCAGGCTGGTGTTAAAGGGCCCCTACTTGAGGATCTGTTCGCTGAATCCATGGAGGCTTATCCAGTTTCGCTCTTTGCTCGCAGTCCAGACGGTGGGCCTGAAACAGGCAGGGAGGGGTTACTGGCGGACGTCAGCCCTAGGGGGGGCCTGGCAAGCTTCTCCAAACATCAAAACAACAGTCAAAAACACCAAAGGCAAACAAGAGCCACGTGAAGAGCAAAGAACATCAGAGTAAGACAAACATCTGGAAGGTCACACTAAATCAAGAGAAGAGGGGAAAAAAGTCTTACTTTTTTCTAAGATACATGCTGACAACTAGGGTGTCATTGTCCGTTTGACTAACGTATTTCGAAATACTTTGGCACACTTCAGGAACGTCATCAAAGCATATTATCGTGTCTACCTAAAAAGCAGGGAATATGACAGAACATTAAAAACATACATGGGAAGTGATGACTAATGCAAATAACATGAAACAGCTAATTTAACAGCTGAAAGTCCAATTTTTGAATGCAGTCACATAGCCATTATGTATTTCACAGTTCTAATGCAGCGACAGTTCTGCATGTACAAATAACCAGCATCTCAGCTAGAAGCAGGTGGGTGTTAATCGGTTTTTGGAGCCATAGAATTAGGATGAAGATTCACCACACGCCATCATCTTCTAAACGTAAAGTACCTTCGTCTTCTGTGCCTTCATCTCAGCAAAGAAATTTGGAGTCGAAACTAAATCATCCTGGTCCAGCTATGAGTGAGGGGGAAGACAAGAATAAAAGGAAGACCAGGTAAGTGCAAGGCATGGGTGTGCATCTCCAGCTCACCTTCACAGGAAAGCATGAGGGACCTGCTGCAGCAGAAGCGACAGCAGCTGAATCAGAACCGGCCTCACCTCCATTTGCTCCATCACATGCGGCACGTTCTCCAAAAGCACGTCAGACTTGAGTTTGACCTCCTTAAGACCGCTGTAGCTCCCGAGATACAGTTGAGCATCCTCACTGCGGTGGGCTATCATTAATGCTAGCAACACTGTCATCTGCTGGGCCTAGTGGGGAACAGATAATCATACATTCATCACCCTTATGTCAAGTCAACTAGCCCATACTGTACATCTTCCAAGAGTTTATGTCACCTTGAGTCTATACAAAGCAACACAGAGAGCATGGCATCCAATACATGGTGCACACAGTCAAACACAGTCAAACACAGTCACAAACACAGTCACAAACACAGTCACACATTATGGACAAATTAACGGCATCAAATATAATTACATTAATTTATAAAAGACCAAAGCAAGAGACAATTAAGAAAGCATTGTCAGCCAGTCCCTGGAGCAATTTAAGTTAAGGGCCTTGCCCAAGGGCCCCAGAGTGACATCACTCTGCTGAGCTTGGGATGTGAACCAGCAACCTCCTGATCACAGACACGGCATCCCAACCCGAAGAGCCAAACAGCGCCCCAAACAGCCATTAATACCTGAATCAAATCAAATGTTTGTTCAAACTTTCAGTGGGACAAGTGTAAGGGAAGACTAAGGGGGGGGGGGGGGCTCCCTCACAGTGACACTGGATGGAGTTTCCTGTTCTGCTTCTGGGTCCTTCTGCGAAACCGGAAGGCAGAAGTCTTGCCCGCCACGCCACTTGCTGCTCTCACTGGCGTAGGCGGAGCAGAAGATCAGGGTCCGGCCCGGGAGCAGGGGCACGTTATGCCGGCACGAGATCTGGATCGCCGTCTCCAGGGCCTGCAGGTACTGCTGCAGCAGGTTCCAGCTGTATCGCCTCATTCAGACAGAGTGTAGCACAGGCTTGTCAACAGAGGTGCAATGTTCAGGTCCAGAAAGTACAAATCCAGACCAAGGTTTTGTTTCAACCAACCAGTTGAGTATATTGAGTCACATTTGCAGAGCTCTCAACTAGTTAGTTGAAACAAAACCAGTCTTACTCTATGCATAAAGAATTAACATTATAATTTCTTCCATCTAACATTCATCCAGGGCCGATTCTAGGTGAGAGGTGTAGAGCATAAGAGTGGTCGTAATTCATACACAGGTCCAATGATATGTTTGGAATTGGTAACTGACAGGGGTGTGAGCACTGCTGCGGCCAATCAGCTTTCAGCTAGGGCCAGTGCCCCTGTGGCCCCGCCCCTGTATCCATCTATCTTCCAAGCACTTATCCTATATGGGGGATCATGGAGCCAACCAGCCTGACCACATGTGTTTGGACTGGATTGGATGATTTTACCCAACATGTGTGAATGTGTCATCCTACAGTTAATGAGTCCAATTGAGCGTCTACTGGGTCAAAAACACTGTAAATGAAAACCTACTCAGCCAATGAAGCGACGGCTATTATTCTGCCGTCCATTCAGTGATGGGGACACCAGCAGAGCTCAAAGCATGAAGCAAGAGGCGCAGCCGCAGAGGATTGGACGGACACGTACCTGGCCAAGTCAAGCCGCTTCCTCTTCATGCGGTACATGCGGTAGACGAAGGGCACGGCCAGCGCCCGTCTCCTCTCACTGCGCTTGGCCGTCTGCCAGTCCAGCTCCTTGAACTCCTTGGTCCTCGGCATCTTGTTCAGGACGCTGCCCAGCACCACGGCCTTTCTGCGCGGCTTCACTGAGGCGAGACGCAGAGACGGCGGTACCTTACAGCACCACGGCCGAAGGGTGACAGCCCCGGGGCACAGGAAAATAAGCTAATGCCCCGCAGCTGGTCGGCATGGTGACCAGGGGCTGGAAGGCAAACTGCAAAGCTACTCACCTGAGTCACAGAGGTCCATGACCACCTTGTAGGCGGCGAGGAAGCGGAAGGGGAACTGTCTGCTTTTAACCACGGACTCCTGCAAAGGCAGCACAGTAACGCAGCTAAAGCACGAGTTCCTCAGAACATCCGGATTACATAAGCCAAGATGTTTGGTTCAGTTAAACTCTGAAGATGCTTGCGAGCACCTTAAAAGAAGCTTCTCGGAGGTCCTTCTCGGCCAGCGTCTGAGATCTTTACCTTATTGATCAGCCGCGCCAAAATCTTCTGGTGGTGTTTCTTACTGATGCCGCTGGTGATCAGGTTTCTGATGTTCCTCAGCATGGCCATGAAGGGAAGGGCCCTACTGTCTACATGAGGCAGATAAGGAGAGTCACAAAACAGACATGGCAACATGCCCAAAGAGCAAATTTCCGAAACTGACTCGGGCCATTTTTTGTTGTCGAGATGAAACTGCCGATGACCTAAAGTCAGTTGTCCTTATCTGTTACAGTGTCGGTTAAGCAAAACTCATGAAATCCAATGAAGAACTTTGCCTATATTTTCAAAACTGAAAAATCTCAAAAATGTATCCTGTCACCTGAGCGAGTTTTGGAAACTTGTTCTTCGCCTCTGAATATCAGATCTACGGTCTACATAATACAATGTGATACACAATACAAGGCAGACATAATAACCTTCTATGTCCAGTCACCTTAGAAAGTGCAATATTGACCAATCTTCCAAATGTCCAATATCTGTATGAATACATTGCTTTGTATAAAGCCAAAATTTTGCATCTCATAAATGCATAAATATATGCGCAGTGCTGGTCTGGGGGATGGCAAGCGTGTTTAAGGTAGCCTCTCATGTGATATCGTGCAGAGATCTTGCAATAATTCGTGCGTCACACGTTTCTCATAACTTATCGCTTCACTTTGCTCCACTCGCAAGTTCACTTCTCTCGCCAAGCAGACAAAAATATTTTATGAGGTTTTTCCAGGCTGTGGTTGCCCAGGAACCAACCCGCATCGTGCGGAATGATTGACTGTATATATATTTGTGTGTGTGTGTCCATCCACATTCTGTATATGTCGTAATTTATTTTAGGTCTTATCAATGTCATTTTGTCAAGTCCTGAGAGAGCAGCAAAGATCTTTTTGTCATACTGTCAAGCAATAACGACAAATTCAATTCAAAACTTTAAAAAGTGAAAGAAAAATGCATAGCACATATTACATATAACAGTCAGGGAAACTAAAACCCAGATAAAACACTTAACCGTAAATGCTCAAATTTGCTCAAATGTTCGTCACGCACACGCAATGCGTAGCGTGATATTTGCGCTCTGAGCTATGGGTGTGCCCTGTGAGCGCGGCCTCCGCCCAGACAGTGTCCGTGAGCGGAAGCCCGTGCGTAAGCGTGAGCGTGAGCGTGTGCGTCAGCCCGCACGTAAGCCTGTGCATCCGCTGACCTATGAGTCTGGCCCAGGTTTTCGCCTGGTTCCCCTCCTGACTCAGCATCCTCTCCCAGGTGTCGGGCTGCACCAGTTTCATGCGCTGTCCGGCCCGATCCGGATCCCAGGTGCCCTTCAGGCCGCTGTGAATGAACTCCTTGGCATCCTTCGGGTACCTGCACAGAGTACGGGCATTACGGTACTGGGGCAGACGCTGGGGCTGGCGGTGGCTGGGATCAAACGGCCCTTAGCCCACAGAGAGCACATCACCTCTTCCCCAGGACGGCCATGACGTGCTCAGCCGGCTCACTGATATGCAGCCTCTGGATCATCTTCTTCAAGCTGAAGACGCTGGCGCCTTTATCCACTGCTTTGTGCTCCATTGCTTCGATCTGCATACACATGGGTGTCACTGTCATTTGTCACTTTTTTTTTTTAAATCTAGTTTTTAATCATTATATTACTTTCAAATGTCATTTGAAATCCAGGTTAGATTTAGTTAGCTATCAGTGTGGTTTCATTTGTTTTTGTCTTATTTCTATTTCATTTTCTATAGATTCCGTTTAATTACGTTTTCAGTTTATTTCTAGGGATAGACTGAAACTTTTCTATAGTTATTTTATGTCTGATCTTGAGAATCCTACATGAATATACTGTACATTATGTATCTCAAAATGGGCAAAACGTGTTCCAGATTATTAATAGTAATCAAAGATAAACAAATCATTGATATAGGTACATAGATACAAGTATTTTAAAATGGTAGTTACCTATTTGTTTTTATTTTTTATATGTATAGTTTTTGTTTAAAATTTTTGTTTTCAATTTTTTTGCCTGTCTAACTTTATTTTAGTTTATGAAAAAAAAATCTTGTAGTTTTAGTTTTCATTAATGACACACACACACACACATACAAAAACACTTGCTCCTCAGACGTAGATCTGACACACGTTTCCACGGCTTTGCCTGTAAGGACACTGCCCTGCCTCGCAATTTAATGTGATTAATATTTGCTATCCAAAAGTGGCATTTCTTAAATACAGGAAGCCACGTCTAATCCAGGACACAATGTATGGTCGCTGGGTTCAGAAGCAACACAAAAACCAGCTCACAAATTTCTTCAGCGTCACTGGATCAGACTTCAGATCTTTGGCCCAGCTTGCCCACTTCTTCAAAGAAGGTTTCTGGGGGACGCGAGAGAGAGAAAGTGACAGGTGAGAGGGAGACAGAAAGAGGACAAGAAACAGATGGATGGGAGAGAGGCGAAAATAGGAGGGATAGTTTGGAGATAAAGGAATATATGGTTACTAAAACCAACTAACAGGTTAAAGCAGTAACCTGTAACCAGGATCTTGGCCGGCCACAGTGCCTGCTTCGTTTAAAGCAGTTTAAAGCACTAATAAGCTCCATACTAAAAGGAAAGACTAAACTGTTTAAATGAGTACAGTTGGCAGTTCAGTGCAGCCTGAAAACAGTCCTCTCTTCCTCATTCAGTCATTCCGTGTCCCTGTCTGGCTACATGGAAAACACATGGCAAATGTGCCAAGACGGGAGGGGGTGTGTGCGGCAGATCAGCCCCACTGTTCCCGCTGCCCTGCGTGTCACCTTGGTCACTGCCACTTTGCCCCGGTAGTGCTTGTTCCGTTGCCCGCGTGTGTTGTACTTGGCCAGCTGATATTCTGTAAACTGCTTAAATTTATCCGTCAGGGCCTTCTTCAGACACGTGGGCAGGGCCTGGCTGAAACACTGTGGAGAGGGCGGGAAAATGAGGTGTTTGGTTAAACGTTAAATCCGAGACGTATTAAGACCTCATCCAATCAATATTAATAACTCTTTCAGACTTCCTTATTATAAAATCAAACTGCCACCTCAATAAATAATATCTAACAACAATCTCAGATCAGTATTTACATTACGTTGCATCTCAAACTTCTTTTTTTTCCGTTTATATAACATATATAATATATATAGCAAAAACCTCAACTCACCTTACTGTAAAGCCTTATCACCTCCAGCCAATCAGAGGGCAGCTGCACTGCTGCACAGAAATACCGGCGCAGGTGCGGCTTTGTGGCGGGCAGGTGTGCTGCCAACGCCAGCAGGAAGTTGGCTGTAAGGCGAATATTCAATTCCTGCCGAGTGTACACCGCCACCTAGTGGACAGGCGACTATGGTGACAATGCATTCACATCATAATTCAGAAGAAAGTACAATGTGCATGCACCCTTCATGACAGCCATTTAACCAGCTTCGTTCTTCTGGTGTATTTGGTAATTCATCTCTGCACTGAGAGGCCTGTCCTCCAGGTGTACTCACTTTGAGTAAGAACTGGGAGTCTTGCTGAGACACCTCCTCTACCAGGCCCTTCATATTTGTCCACAAAGTCTCCTTCTTGTCCCAGTCTTGCTCCCCCGGGGGTGTGTTTTTCATCACCAGGGAGAGGCAGACGGCATTCAGCAACAGGTACTACGGTAAACAATGTAAACCGCCCTTACGCTAGCCTTCTGAATCAGAGCAAACTGCAGTTACACACCTTAATGGCCGCAGGTCATTTACAATGAATCCTTTCCTGGATTCTAGTGTTTAGAAATCAGTCCACATGACTAGTAAGTCAGTTGTTAGGCTGACCTGTTGATTGTGTTATTATAAGCAAACGCAACTATATCAACAACAGAAAAAAAATTATAAAAATCAATAGCAATAATCAACTATCATTTTTAACTTTTGGCAATTTAAAACATTCAAGACACCAAACAAGTGATTTGGAATATTTGCCTAAAATGCCAATTAACCATACAAACATTTCTTTAAAAGATTCTAAGACATAAAGCTACGGGGTACAAGAGCAGCCCCCCTAAGATTTCTCACCTTTTTATCCTTCAGCTCTTCCTCCAATTGGTCATTGACCTCCTCAACCTCCCCAAAATCCTCCTCATGCAGCCCAGGAAGGTCCTCCTCTTCCTCTGGAACAGGCTTTGCTGTGGACGCCTCAGTGGGGTCCTAATGTACACGCACAGCCAGACAATACTCAAGGATTAGGCATACGTAAATGCAATCAGTGACAATCTCAGTCAAGCAGAGCAGGGTGGTGAAGCTTTACCGTCAACTGGTAATTAAAAAGACATGAGTAAGCATATCTACATATGCATTTGCAAGAAAAAAAGTGACAAGGTGAGGCATACCCCACTGTAAACTTCAGTCGCACACTTCAAGTCTTCATTTATAACTGGCATCTCTTCTCCTCTTCCTCCACCTCCTACTTCTTCTTCTTCTTCTTCTACCACTGACTCAGCAGGGGCCAAATGCACAGATGAGGAGGAGGTGGGCCGCAGCAGGACACAGGTTTTGTCAGAAGCTCGGAGGACAGAGGAGGAGAGCAGCCGTGGCGCCAGTGCATGTGAAACGAGGTGCTGAGGGCTGCTGAGGAGGGGCTGGGGAGAGAGCAGCGGCGAGGAGGCGGCGGTGGAGGACAGCCACGTGGGCTGCAGGGCGGGCGAGCCAGCCTCGATCGCCCATGATGGGGACGCACAGCCGTGCTGCAGGGCAAGCGCCAGGCGGGGGCCCGAGAGCGCCAGGCAGGGGCCCGAGAGCACCTCCGGGGCCTGAGCCAGCACCCGGTTCTCAAGATTCAGTCCTGCACCGCTGGACAGGAGCCCTAAGGAGCTGGATGGTTTGTCCAAGTCTGCGCTGGGTTTGAGCAGAGCCAAAGGCATCATTGTGCTGGTCGGCCACAGACAATGCTACAGAAGTCTATCTGCCGGGACTGGGAAAAAATATACAATGATAAGCAAAGTGTCATGCCATTTTAGTACCACTCTAAGAAACAGCAACAGAATGTCACATAATCCCATCTATAAATCCAATTACTCCTTCTAAGCTACTACTTTTTAATAGTTTAAAATGTTTCACAGTAAATTTGCATTTTGAGAACATCAAAATTCATAATATGTAACATGACATGAGCAGTGCACAATACTAGCTTATGTTCTATTAGCATATTAGCATACGGTGGAGCAGGACTTTCCAACACAGAGCACAATCGATTTAGAGCCGGTTCAGTATATACCAAGTCCTGAAAATCCAGTTTGAGGGCCTATAGACTCTCCAGTTCAAGCAGCAAAAAGATCAAAGTTCGCCTTATATCAACACGGCGCACCCACAGTACTACGTACTATCTTACAGTCCCAAAAACATCGTGTGTTTTAATTAGGAAAATAAAATTTTTTAAAAATGGATCCCATTCACTCATAATTTTAAGCTATTACAGCGTCCCAGTCAACAAAGGCAAACTTTTTAGAATAATTATTTGATGAGAAATAAGTGCATGTTTTATATTATTGCAATAGGCGATAACGTATACCGTGACACCATGGCTGCATTTTAGTTGCACCACTTAAATAAGAAAATGCCAGTTCTTTAACAGCAACTTGCAGACTCTACGACGAGAAATACAGATATTTCGCGTTACATATGACACTATAGCACTAATAACAGGAGTTAAGACGGTGCCTGACGAAACACTGCACAGTGAACTAGCTTTCATTTACAATATATTCATTTTAATTGCCTCAGTAAGCAGCTATGTGCTTATTACTAATACTCAAATAACATTAAAACATCATTTTACCGTTCTGCCATAACGAACGCTGAAAAGTAAACTCGGCTTCTCTGAGCGATTCTTTGCTCTTCCTATATACTAACAGGGAAGCGTATGGGATCTGAGTTCAGTTTCATGTTTTTTTCCTGCCGCCAACCTTCGTTTGTTTAGTTTGTAATTCAACGGGGAAAGCTGATCCCAGATCAGCACCTAAAAATACCAATCGGCTACGCGTGCTTCTGCGTCAAAGCGGACCATTGGTTAGAAGAATCGGACCGCCTACTGTACGGATCAATGAGGATCTCTTACCTGCTTCTTGTGCATTTACAAAAGTGATATAAACTTCAGTTTAATGTGTACTGCAGAAAATAATGAGTAAATTCAGAGTCATTTTGAGCAAAGCATCTGACTTTAAAATGTGCCGTTTTATTAGGCGCTCAGATTTCATTCATATAATATTCATAATTTCATTCATTCATGTAGCTATTCCATTTTTGGTGATCTTGGTTGACATGTTTAATAACAACTAACGGTTAAAACATTATTTAGCTCAGATGCTAATTAAAACATTCCGGTTTTATGACGACAGGACACACGACTCATGACACGGACCATAATGTGCGCGCGGCGGGGTATGAACCCGAACCGCAAACTGCGCGCTCACGTTTATTCTAGGTTAGACTGTATTGCTTTGACCTTGTGGAAAAGAAAGTCTCACAATCTTGTAGAAAGAAATCAGTTCTTGTCCCGTTATCATCCTAAATGAATACACTGCCAAAATATAGGAGCTTGTTAAAACTGCAGATTTTATTGCGACACGCATCCCAATAAAAGGGATCTAGCAACGCACTACGTATTAATTACTATTTCATATAATAATAATAATAATAATGTTCTCGTCATCATCATCACTATGCAAAATCAAAAAAAGATATCTCAGATGCTGAGGGACAATGCCGGACAGCACTATTTGAATTAGTATTTAAATGTGTTTGAAGTGGATGTGGAAACCCCAAGTTTTTGACATGAACAAGAAGTTCAACCACAGCAGGTTTCATTAAAAAGTTACTGTGTCGATATATCGATTCTGGTTACTGTTTTTTTATGTGTTCGTTCTGAGAAGCTCATCCACAAGAAACGTTCTCAGTTTTTATAATCAAAAGCAGCCGCCCGGAAGGGGAATAACCGGCCGGCCGGCCGCCTGCCTCCGCGCCCCCTGCAGTTTCGCAGGCTCCTCACCGCCTGTAGATCTCGGCATGTTCGAAACTCCGCGAGCTGGTGCGCGTCTTGCCAGCCGATTGGACAGAAAAGTTCATCCGGCGCTGACGTCACCGCGCCTGCCGACAAAGGAAGAAAAGCCACTTCCTTTAAAGCAGATGAACGGATGAATAGCGTGTTAGAAGGAGAGCAGTAAAGATAGGAAAATGTCACGACGCTAGTGAAAGGGTATAGAAGACTTTTAGTCATAAACCCCGATTACAGAAGTATTATTTTAATAAGGATATTTATAGATATTCATAATCGAAACTAAAGGCGGGTAGTCGTTACCGATCGCAGGCACAAATTGCAGTCATGGGAACTAGATCGAGTCGTTTACAAGAAGAAGGAGTATCGTCTGCTTTTGAGAAGGACGACATTAGCAGGGGGTCTTGCCGCCGACTGCGCAGCAAGCGGCCTACTAGTCTAGTGGTGGGTTTCTCCGGCAGTTTCGATCAGGACTCGGAGGCCGGCCGGAGCCGCTCGGAGGAGGGCAGCGATTCCGACCAAGGGCGGCAGGCGAGTGCCAGCGGGGGCAGCGCCAACCGCAACCCGGGTCAGACGGAGACCGTTAATAACAACAAGCACGCCAGCGACGGGAGCCCTACGGGAGAACTTCGCCGGGGATTACTGCCCGGGGAGACCGGCCGCGTCGGTCATCGCACCTTCTCCGAGCGCCTGGTCGTCAATCGGCAGATTTCTGGGAGGAACGGCTCCGTCCGGCCGGGCCGTGCCCGAACCACCCATCCGCGTCCCGTCTCTGAGGCGTGGATCGGTCGCGTCAGCAACCGCCACGGCAGTAAGTGTTTTAAAACGGAACCTCCGCGGTATCACGATGGCAGCGGTGACATAATCCGGCTCAGTCCTCATCCTAAACACCCCGATCGGTACAAGCGCCGACATGTCACGCCAGTCATGAGTGTGTGGAATTACCGATTCCTGTGCACTTCCCGGGAAAGTCGTTGAGGTGTCCAGATAAAAGAAGGTTTGAGGTGTTACGTGATAAGCAGGAGTACGGATTGTGCAATATGACTGTTTACCGAAAATGGCTTAGTTACCGTAAGCAGTGCAGTTTTTTGAACGGGAAGAATATAAGTTAGAAAATCTTTCACCGATTGGCGTCTCTTTCAGATTAGGGGTGCAGCTTTGTGGTTAACGACAAAGGTGGTGCGGAACTAAATATCTTGCCGTGTTACAGCTCTCAGTTTAATTTGGCAGCCCTTATGATGAGTTTGGTTTGATATTTTGAATACACATTACCCTCACATTCAGCCCGATTATATTCATACTCCGTGATTGACGTCGTCATGTTCTCATTTTACGGGGTATTGCTTTAGTTTGCCTGGAGGATAACAAGTCATAACAGTATCAGGCAGATTGCACTTCTTGATAGTTACAGCTAAGGGTGATGTTGGCTCTGATTCATGCTGCTTCTCAGGACACTTTAATGGAATGTTTCTGAAGCAATTCCCGTAAGGTAGACTCAACTTTTGCAGGTGAAAATGGCTCATCAAAATTTAAGTGGAACTTGTCTAGTTTAACACTGGGGTTTACTGAGGGGTGTTTCGGATTGAAAACCAGACATGCACTTTGTCACCTTGCTGTCTGCCGGTCACCATCGGTTAGGGATTTTCCCCAATGTTTGATCACCATACTCAGGCTGGGAGAAAAGTTGGCCAGTTCCTCTCCCACTCAGTTGGCCAGAGTACAGTTAAACATGTGGAAATGGGGGGGGTAGCTGGGCACTGGTTTAAATAACAGTGCCATGCTGCAGTGTGCCCGTTTTTCCTTCAGTGGACCGACTTGAGCGTAACTGTTCATCTGTTCTAAACTTTCGTCTGCCGCATCCTTGCCTCATTAATCGTGACTTTGTTGGCTCATGGTGAATTAATATCAGGGTTAGCTTAGGTGCATGTGATGGTTTGTGTTAACTGTGGAAGACAAACTTTTGGCGTGTAAGTAAAGCAGTCTGCCAGAAAATGTTTATTTTTGATGTGCGACTGGACGCCCACATACTGTTCTGAGCCCAGTGCCTATGAATCAACTCTTATTGTCTTCCTGTATGTTTGCCGCCGTGTTCCTGTCTTCCTCAAGCAGTGTGATGACTGTAAACCAGCGGGACGGGAGACGGGGAAACTTGGATAAACCGGTTGCCAGTGTGACTGGCACACAGCAATCCCACTTAGTCGCCTCGATTCTCTCGCCACCATTGCTGCCCCAGTTCATTCCCACCTCTTTCCCTCTCCATAGCCATCCGTTGTCCATTCTGCTCCAAGCCATTTCCAGGGGGCAGGATAGAGGATCACCTGTTGAGCTGCCTCACCTCCCTGCCTCTGCCTTACAACAGTGAGTACAAGAATCTAGACTTCTGCCCGACGGGCTGTGCTGGCACCGAGGCGGCAGGCAGTCTGCCAGTACCGACGCCAGTGTGCAAATAGAAGGGTACACTGAGATGCGTCAGAGTCGGGTTTGTGGGAAACGCAAGGAGGCTATCTAAAAGCGTATTGCTGGAGTTCACCCGTGTGGCTATTTTCCCCCACACAGCTGACACCCTCACCAAGGACTCTGGGGAGTGTTCCATCTGCCTGGAAGATCTGCTTCAGGGGGACACCATCGCACGCCTGGCCTGCCTTTGTGTCTACCACAAAAGGTATGGCGATGTGCCTGGGGGGCGGAGCCGTGTGACTTTGAAAAGCAGGTGTTTGAGAGACCTGCGACTTGAAACTGACAGAGGTGTTAAACCGTCGGGTGCTGTTGATGACGGGTGTTCCCTCTCTAGCTGCATCGACTCCTGGTCCAAGGTGAAGTCGTGCTGTCCGGAGCACCCCTTCAACTGAGCCGCCCAGCTCCGGTTCCGCAGGTAATCTTCCTCTTCCTCTCTCTGGGCGTGTGTGTGCACGCTCTGGGTCCCACACGTGGCTGTGTTGCATTGCATCTCCCCCACAAGCTGCCTTAGAGTGCATGGCTGTTGGGTTTTCTGTCTGCTTTTCTTAACCTATGTTGTATTGTCTCATTTATTGGACTGAAAGCGGGCAGTTCGGCTCAGACTCATGAATTGTTTATTCTTGTTGTCCCGTTAGGAGAGAATTACTCACCATTATGGACGGGAGGAAAAGCATATGAAGTTGCAGGTTGCATCACATGTGGAGATGACTATGAAGGCAACTTCTGCTTAGCTTGATACTGGCATGTAAACTTCTGCCACAGTTGGGATTGGAAAAAAAAACGCTGTATTTATTCCTCTTTTTTTTTTTCCCCAAACTTAGAGTGCTGGGCTTTTCAGTTTTGTTTTTTAAAACAACAGTTCCAGCAATACAGATCTCTACAAGGAGGTCGGTAAATAATTGTGTGTGTGTGTGTGTGTGTGTGTGTGTGTGTTTGCATTGCTGGTATTTCCTGGAGGGGTGAGGAGGGATCTAGATAGTCGAGTGTGTGAGTGCAGAGACGTTTGGTTTGTGTGTGTGTGTGTTTTTTTTTTTTGCCTCTGTAGTAATTTTGTAAAGTTTACCTCTATGTTAGGAATATCAGCTGTTGATACATTTCAAAATGACGAATATGATACTATTAGTAGTAATTTTGTAACTTTTTTTTTTTTTTTGAGTCCTTGAGCAATGGGATGTTGCCAAACATTACACACGGAGGCTGTTTGTGTTTTTTGCAGCAGACACATTTTTGAAAATACACAGATATATATTTTTTATGTGTTTGGAACCAAACTTCTAGTTTCTGCGTGTCGAACGCGGCCAGCATGGCCAGGAGGACCGCAAACTTCACGATCTCGTTTTGCCAAATGAAAGTGTTTAGCTGCCAGATCCGCGGGAGCAGAGTCGCGACTCGTCGAGCATTTGATGGAAGCTTTCCTGGCTGTTACTCTGGACGTTGTGCTCAGAAACCAATTTTTAAAATCCCAGTGGGAGTGTGTGTGACTGGTCTTTCTACGGCACTGTTGACATTGGTATATTGTAACTGCGGATAGCACTTTAAACCTCATCTGAACCTTTTGGCACAGTTGACATCGACGTTGCGTGCGCTCACAGCTGTGCCCGACAAAGTGGTTATCGAGCACAAATGAGGAAGGCGGTCCGTTATCGTGATTTTACGGCAAGCAGTGTTACCCCTGCATTCCTGGTGACTGCAATCGGAAGAAAAGTCTTCGGATGTGGTTTTCTGTGGTGTTATCCTTCCCCGAAAGGGCTGTTCTTAGTTCATATGGCTGCCGTCTGTTCTCTGACCAACATATCGGTTAGCCGACTGGAATTGCTGCCCTCCCAGGGAGATTGGGCACAGACCTGAGGAGTAATTAAGATTCCGATGAACTTGATTGGATCGAGTGAGAATCTCTGGAAGACTTTCAGTTGTCACTGAAGAAAAAAAAATTAGATTTTTGTGATTGTAAGAATGCCGTGTGTGGTTAAAGATAATTCTTCATGTTCTATGGATGAATCCGCTGCGAGGAGACCCGATTTCTGGTGCGTGTTTAAGTGTGTGTGTGTGTATGTGTGTGCGCGCCACAGGGCCAAAGCAGTCACAGATGCCTCCTGGGGTCTGTCGTCATAGGTTCAGTGTTTGCAGCCAAGCATTTTCCATAGCTAAGATTTCAGGGCTGGCAGGATCTTAGATGGACAAATAAGACTGCTTGTTTTGAATGTAAAATTATCTTTACCGAAACAGCCTCCCTCTGTTGAGATGAGATGTTGGGTGGCCATGCTGTCATGTTTGGGAGTCAAAGGTCACTAGACATACCAGTGGTTTTGTGTGCTTTGTGCTGCCTCAGTGAATTCATAACTGCTGGGTTGAATGAAACAGAGTTAATTGGCTCCAGAAGATTTGGTGCAATATTTTTTTTTCCCCCTTTTACATGAATCTTGCCCCCTTTTTCTTAACCCAAATACAACTACTTGAAAGCATGAAGTTCATCTTCAGAACCAGAATTCACATGACCTGTTCATTACGTTTTGGCTTTAATTGTAATGGTGAATTTTGAGGATTGTGGTTAACATCACCGTGACAAGGTATTTGTATACAGATTACTTTTTTTTTTTTACCTTTAAACACGGACAATCTGTCTTCTCACACTATTTAACGATTTAGTATTTATTAAATTGTAAATATGTAATATTCAAATTCATTGTTCTTTTGGTTTGGATTCTGATACAGTTTATATGCCCAAATCTTTTGTATGTCTAAAAAAGTTGTTTTTTTTATGTATTTTTTACAATAAATATGCGTATGTGTGGGCTTATCTGATTCTTCTAATTCTGCACGTAACCACATAAGGAAGGTTTAAAAACCGTAAACCATTTCATTTTCAGTTTGTGTCGTGTCTATTCATGACTGGCAAGCTTTGATTTAATGAAACGTCTGCTGTTTGGATGACACAATTTACAGGAAATGCATGACCCTGAATATGTGAACACGGCAGGGAAAAACATTGTTGCGTAAGTGGGAATTCCACTTCCAAACAATCAAGTTTTACAAAAAGGAATGCAGCATTACATCATATTTTCATTATAGATGTAGACTCAACATTTCACCCTGCTTAGTGCATAATTTACCTAGCAGAGGGTGATCATTTACCTTATTTGGAAATTGAGATTTTGTTTAGTGAACAAAACCAGCTGATTTACAGCCACAGCATGCCTAAGCAGTTCCTTCTCAGGAATTGTTCGCCAAACCCTTTTTCAGTAAAAACTTCCCTTGATTTAAATCATAAGAATTGCAACATATACTATACAGAATTCCAGTTACAAGCTGGTTCTTCTGGACCAGTGAGATACAGGTTTGTGAACGGCATATTAAAATAATTATATTGTACCGTGACCCTAAACTGGATAGACACTTGAGACGGATAGATTATACTCGTGAGTCGTTCCTAAATAGCAGAAAATGTATCCATTGGATCTTAAATTTGGTTGGTTATACATGCATACAGCGATAGCTGAGCTTTTAAGGCTATGGCCTGCTTCCGCAGATCTTGCTCACCATGTTAGTTTCATGCCTCCGGGGATACGACTACCTGAACATGATTGCAGGAAACGCTTTCATATTTCTGCGCTCAACTTCTGCTTAAATTTCAGGAGGGTTGAAGCAGAGCACACCCTATTCCGGAAATTGACCTTTAAAGGGGTTTCCCCTTTCAAAGCAACGTGCTTTGCTTCAATCACCATACAGAAGCACTAAGGTGACTCAATAAGGAAACAAAGCCCTACTTAAAGGAGTGGCTCACTCAGTAGCCTGCTGCCCGTGAAGAATTTGAACACGTGTTAGACAAATCTAGTTGAAGAAATCCAACAGCACATTGGTTGGTCTGGACTCTAAACCAGGCAACAGGGCTTAAGTTGGAGCCTAAGCAGCACAGCAATCAACTACAGAAAATGTTTTCACTAGCTTAACCAAATATTAACTATTCAATGAGGCATAGATATTGAAGACTCCCGATACTGCAGTACGTGGATGAAAACCACAGTAGTGCAGCATCTAGAATTTGCATCAGGCTAAGCAACTTAATATCGGTTATTTTTAGCTAAGTAAAGATGCTGCAGGCAGCCCAAGACCAGACCCAGCCAGCTCAGGAGTCAAAGGACTACAAATAGTCACAAGACAGTAATTTTATTTATAGTTATGAATCATAACATGTGGCAGAAGTTGCAATCCTCATGTACCCCACTGGTCGCAGATTCACAGCACCTGGAAAGGAAAGGGGATGTTTAACCACACACGTGAGAGCCTGCATTCGCGGTTCGCCATTAGCCTGCTCAGTGCATGTGTATAATCATTGCTTATCAGGTGAAACACGGACAACATGCAACTCATCACCGCAAGGTCAGCTAAATTGTCCCTCTCAACAGTTACAGGACAAGCCATTTGGGATACATTAACGGGACTAATTAAAAGCACTTACCTACAGTGCTGATGTAGGGCCGGTGGACTGGAAACGCAGACCAGTGCTTTTAAAAGGAGCAAGAGAGAAACTGTTAACGGGTACACAACAATCGATCCAGCCATTAAACTTAGAACAGCACTAGGAACACTATATCCAAGCCGGGCACCGTACGCGATGAGCTTCACTTGCCCAAAACGCGCAGACGCGCCACCAAGCGCTCACTGCGGGCACCAAACACGCGTTTGGCAATGAAAGACATCTGGAATCCATCAGCTAGTATATTTTATACGGATTTTACCATGCAAGTCACACAAGGATAAGCACACCTGCTATTTCAGGGGGAAAGTCGTATACTTCATGTGCAAAAATAAACACTCTTTTACGCCACTTAAAACACGTGGAGCCGCTGTTTAAAAACCCACATTGATCGCCTTCGACAAGGAAGCGCGTCCTCTTCGATTTACACGAATTCAATACAGATTAAGAATCTGGAAATTAGGCAGGCAGACGACTAGCCACCCCCCATCGACAGATAAAAAAATACCGGCTCGGTAACACTTAATATTTCCATTTGGTAAATACACGCCAATAACACAAGATGGCAAAACGGTAACCACTAACAAAACAGCTACAAATACCTATCAAAATGACCTAGCTAATTAACCAGCAATCCCACGTCTAATAAAGAAACATAACAAGACCAGCTCCTAGCCGGTCCTCCAGGACGCCGCACAGATAAAGAGAGGGAACGCGGCTCAGGGAGCCTCTTTATAGGAGCGCGCTATCACACCACGTGGTCTGTTCAATAATCCGATGCACCGATCCAGGATCAGAGCAAACGTTCCTCATTAATCCCGACCATCAACATAAACCACATCATAGATCCGGACAACCATGTCATTTTAAAATTTCAAAGGATGATTTTAATGTTGACATTCCAAACCGAGCAGATACCTAACTTTGAATCCAATAGTATGAAGTATTTTTATGGTGAATAATACGGTTGAATTCTTAGTTCACAAATATTACATACATAAATCGAGATTCTCAAAATAAGAGTTGATTGCATCTTTTAAATCCTTAAAGTTTAAAGGAAATTAAATGAATGAAAATTTCCAACATTAATCTTTGAGGGACATCCGCTATGTATTTAATACCGCTATGTAATTCATCACTCTGCGTCCAACTAGTACAACGACTTATATAATTTGATTTATTTATAAATTTAGTTTTTATTTAGAAAGCGCACTGACACACCAATGCCACAAACTGCACAATACAAATATTTAATATGACACTATTGAAGAATCATTACCACCTGCACTGCATAAGCTTACTCTTGGCCACATGATACAATGACGGAAGCCTCATTGGACATAATAGTCAGGACGTTTCGCTCGTCTTAGATACAGCGACAGCTTACAGTTAGAAAATTTTAAGGTCCAGGTAGTATTTGCTTGTTACGTCTTTGAACGTGGTGTGGAAATCTCATTTTAGGAGCGTGCAGGTTGACGGGATGAGAGTCGTGATTGGTATGTCGCAAGCTTAGCTGTTGTGTTTCTTGATTATATGGCATGCCAGTTTAATCAAACCTAAAAGGAAATGTTAGACCCAAAAACAAATATGCTATCGGGCTGGTAGATTACTGCCTTTATGGCGTGCAATATTAAACAAGGATAGAGCGGATATAGTGAAGGTCAACATTCTGGAAACGTTTACGCGCTGTACAGTTTCGCTTTCGGAAGTGAGGAGGAAGCGCATGCGCGTACTGCTGCTTCGTCTGCTGAGACCTAAGGTCTTGTTTCCAGTAGGCCTATGTTGTTAGAGAACCTTGACAGTATCAGTCAAGAAAATAATTAGACACCTGCCTGTTGGTTCCTTTAATAATAAAAAAAATGGACGGGAAATACCAATTGTTGCTTAAACTATGAAGTTAATTCTCCCGATAATTATTTAGGATCTTACCATTTGGAAGCATTTCAGTCAGGTGTGGTGACAACATGACCCTTAAACACCCTGTGTTATTTTTTTTTGGTGATAACACCTGACAAGTTTGGTGTCATTTCCTCCTCTCACCAGGCGGTGGCTCCGGTTTTGTTGGCAGAGAACTGACCCGGTTTCTATGTAAATCAGGTCATGAAGTCACTATTATATCAAGGCAACCAGGTCCTGGACGTATCACATGGGTAAAATGCTTCCTGTTTCCTGTCTGCTATATCCTTATATCTTTTTTCCTTTTAACAATATTTGTCATTTTCCCACTTAGTTATTATTGCCTCCTCTGCTCAGGCCCCACACTTAATGTAATTGGTTAAAATATCACACATGACAAAATGAGTAGGCTATTCATTATAACAGGCCCCATGGGAGCTGAGTTTGACCAGCTAGTTCCTGATTTGCAGGCTGATCTGGAGAGTAGCGGCCTCCCACCATGTGAGGGCGCTGTCAACCTGGCTGGGGAGAATTTCATGCATCCCCTGCGCTGGTAAGAGATTGAAAAGTATTCCATCATTCCTGTTTATTAATCCATCCATTCACCTATCTATACATTAACACTTCTGTATAAGCAATTTCCACTAGGATAATAAAAGTATTCTGATAACATCCATCCATTTTGTACATGCTTTGTCCTATTCTGATAAGTCACTGATGAAATGAAGACAGCAAGCCTGAATCTTTTTGGGCATTAAATCTGAAAAGCAAGACAAGTGTGAGATGCTAACCTATCCCATCTAAACAAGAACACGTGTAGTCACACATTTTATAGACTGCTTAGAATCACTTGTTCAGTTGTTGAGTGTGGAAGGAACCCCAGACAATCAAGAGGACAATATTAGATTGTAATAGTATACATGCTTTATTAGTTAATCTGTCTTTTCCTACTTGATCAGGTGGAATGAGAGCTTTAAGAAAGATCTGTTCTCCAGTCGGATTGATACAACTAGATCTCTTGCAAAAGCCATTGCATCCTCTTCCAGTCCTCCTCGGGCCTGGGTCCTGGTCACAGGAGTGGGTAGGTGTGCAGCATACTCGTGGTAGCACAAACATCGCAGAGTGGTCATTATTTATCACGATGCTTTTTCCAGTGCTACTCAAAACTTGTAACTGGGCATTCATTGGAATGCATTTACAGTAGCAGTCAACAGTTTGGAAACGCTTACTGAAAACAATTTGTCTTTGGATAAGAAACTCAAGGTCTAGTCAGTATTATCTGGTGAACGAGCGTTGAGATGGATTGCTGTTCCCTTTTGAGATGTTGGACACTTCTCTTGATCGTTGCAATATTTGATATGCATTGTTTCATTGCCTCGAGGCCTTTTACTGTAAGATAAGACTTCATTGATCCCACACCAGGGACATTTACTTTTTACAACAACAAAACAGAAATAAATAACAATAGAAAATAAACTATAATGATAGAAATAATTATGAAAAATTATGATAAAATTTAACACAATTATATTGTACGTATGCAGTGGGTACTGCACAGATGTAATGCTCATGCATGTGTAATGACATCCCATGTCTAATAAGAGTGCAGGACAGAAACTTTAGTTGACTTGGGTATAAATATGTTGCACCCAGTAGATATAAATATAGATGTTACACATATGCAGTGGATATCGCATAATTGTAAACAACATTCATGTGTAATGGGCATTCAGTGGGAGACGTAGCTGGGGTGTCCGGACTTTTAACTGGTCCTGTATACCTTGCAATGCACTTGCTGGCTTATGCATCGCTTTGGACAAAAGCATCTGTTGCATGAATGTAATGTAAATTCAGTTACTCAAAGATTCAGGCATTTTTTTGAAATTAAGTGACCTGTATCTGACTGTATTAGTGAATGTAGCTGTTCTCTGAAGCCTTTGCACATTGATGTTTTTGCACGAGTCTATGTCACCGACCAAAAAAATAAAAACACTCTGCATTTAGGCAATAAACCACATGGATTTCCATCTGACTGGTCACATTCCTGTCGCATGGCCACAGATCTGATATATATCTGATCTAGGACCACGTATCAAAGTGACTCAGTTGATTTAAAAGGATCAGATTTGTGTTCACTCTGCCCTGAAAACATCAGACCTGAGTCACATTTAGGCAAACAAATCAGATTTGAGTCACTTCTGCTTGGTAGTGTGAACACAGCCTAATTGATATTATTATTATTAGGGGTCCAATCAACATTGGCAGCTGGATCCCTATTGTTTTTATTATTATTATTGAGAACATTGTGAATCCTTGCATAAGATTTACCCTTATAAAGCTCTCACTGCCTGTTTATGTGGCAGCCCCAGCAAATGATTTTACCTCATAAAAATGTTGCCACATTATCATTAATTTTCATTATTCTGAAGGCAGTTTGGACCAAAATAAAGCGACGTCACACTGTGTCATTGGAAAACCGACACCCGTTTATTGCTGCATTTCCGAGGTGGAGTCCTACCATGGATCGGCATTGTCAGAAACCTGCGATCTTCCGCTTTGAAAGCTAAAGCCAGAGCGGGTGTTGTTTGTCGTTTGCTCCTCTTTGATGTTGCATGTCCTTCTGCTCTGTTGCGGCATGTTATAAACCCAGCCAGACGATGCAATACACCGAAGAGACGGAGTGGAACCCCTTTAATTTATTTTCCCTGCTGGTGAAAGAGTGGGAGGCCGCCGGGAGTCTCCCAGAAAACGTGGCTCGGAACACCAGGCACGTGGTCGTCAGGTCAGGTTAGTCTGATGGGTTTAACCAGGCAGTGGAAGACCAGCGAAAGCCAATAGCCAATAAGAAGTGGAACGATCCAATCATGATAGCCCCACATGCAGGGTTCAGAAGTCTTTCCTTGTGTCTTTGCTATTTTAGTACGTCCCCCTTTCTCCCTGCTTTGTTAGGGCTCGTTCTGGGTGCAGATGGGGGCGCTATCAAGCAGATGCTCCCCCCCTTCCGGCTGGGCTTGGGGGGGCCCCTGGGCTCTGGTCAGCAGCCGTTCCCCTGGATCCACGTTGCTGACTTGGCAGGAATAATTGCCCGTTCACTGGAACCGCCCTCAAAGCCCGTTCCCAGCATTCCAGAGATCTACAACGGAGTCGCTCCTGCCCAGAACACCAACTATGAGTTCACCAAGGCCCTGGGCCGGGTCCTGCGGCGGCCCGCGGTGCTCCCGGCTCCCAGGCTCGTCTTGCAGGCGCTGCTGGGTGTGGAGAGAGCCGCGGTGCTTACCGAGGGTCAGTGGGTGTTACCCAAGAGAACTCTGGAGTCGGGGTATGAGTTCCAGTACCTAAACCTCGAGTCGGCACTAAAGGAGATCGTGAGGAGTTAACACCCTGTTTGTCAGTGGACTGCTCAGCTTGTTCATACACACGTGCACTTTTCATGCACTCTCATTTTGAGTAGCTTGATGGTTACTTTCATCTAACTATAAAACATTATAATAGTGTCATGCAGAGCCTGGTTCCGAAGCCAATTGCCTAGAACATAGAACACTACAATCCCTCAGGACCTTTGCAGCCCTGGTTCTGAGTGCCTTTGGTGTCCCCCATAGAATTTAGCACAGCATGTGTTAAAGAACTTCAAGGGTACTAAGAACAACATCTCGACCAAGATCAGAATGTGCTCTCTCTTGAAATCTGAGTTTTGTTAGACTGGTGTCTGTGTCTGCTAATCATGTTAAGTGCCCTCATTACCACGTTATCAATTCAGCTTTTTTGCTTGAAATCCTAAGCCGGAGCAATCGTTTGTTTTTTCACTGTGTGGTGATGGCTGATTGCCAAATACAGTGTTCTGCTGGACGATTATGGGACGTAAATGAACACTTGCACAAACAAATGTGCGTGTTGCTCATTCTTGTGTGCTCAACAGTCTTAAAATTCCCCTATGAGATGTAAACAAACACTTGCACAAACAAATATACGAGTTGCTCATACTTGTGTGCTCAACAGTCTTAAAATTCCCCACTGTTTTTGTATCGTCTAACCAGTGAAATCTTAAGTTACAAGAATGCAGTGGTCTTTTGCTCTGCTACATTTTTATTCTGAGACATAAATCCGAAGAGTGTTTTTCTCTGATCTCAGGTTGTTTGTTAGATCAGTGGAGTATTTTGAAACCCTTCTTGGATGGGTCCTTTCATTCCGTGATGGTTTCCACTTCTGGCTTCATGATTGGCAGCCGATCTCCATAGTCGCTGTTCCGGGCGCAGCGGTACACGTCTCTGTTTAGGTGGGGGGAGGCAGCAAATAAGTGAGTGTGTGGAGGAGAAGAAAGCCAGGTAACGTCCCAGGTAACATCCCAGGTAACGGGGAGGGGGAGGGGCTGACCTGCCGTGGCGGCTGGGGGTGACGACGACCCTCCTCAGCTCTCCGTCGGGACAGCAGAGCTGGCAGTGAACGTGGCGGGGCCTTCGTAACACCGGCCCTGTCAGCCGGGCCCACTCCAGCCCTGCGTTCTCAACTCCCGGTTCCTGCCGGGCCATGACCAGGTAACTGAACTGCTCCACCTCCTGTTCACGGTTCTGTGTAACAGCACCAGAGAGCTTTTTCACCAAGTCTGTCTTCATTCTGACACTGTCATCCGCAAACCTTGCATTCATGCTAATTTCCTCCAACCCGTCTCATCGTCCCATCACACTGCGGAGTAGGCGGGTTTCTCTTACCCCCGGAAGTGGCAGAGGGCAGAATGGCTGGGGGTAATTACAGGGCACCTGGGCTTGTTGTGCCAGCTTGGGGCAGGGTAACTGGTGTGCACACTGACCACACATATCAAAGAAGGAAAATGAGTAGATTACCTGTTAGCTATGCTTTCATATAGCTTTGGGAGAGACCTTGCGTAGCTTGGTAGTGGAAAAATCTATTTATTCATCTTAACATTCAAAAGTTTATCCAAGAACTATACGGCATTAATTCAAAATGACATTGATTCTGAGATACAAACACTCAAATAACAAATAACAGAAATATGAAATGAAACGCACCGGGGCGAACACGAAAGGACGGCTGGGGTCCATCGTTTTCTCTTCCCCCTGTTTGTTAAACAATTATTCAATCACAATTATACATTCAGCAATACAAATGAAATTTAAAGGTATACTTCAGACATGAGAGTTAACAAATAAAAGCCTTTGAAACCAGAGTGCAGTCACTTTCTGTGTGTGTGTCTGTGAGCGTGTGTGTGTGTCTGTGAGCGTACATATGTCACCCACCTTCAGTACTGTGTCTCTGGCCTCCATCAGGATCTGATGACCTTCCTTAGTCCCATTTTCCACCAGAACCTGAAGAACATTTAAGAGTTGGACAAGAAAAAAATAGACAAACATACATATAACAGTGCAAAATTCTTTATGTAATACTTCAGTTTAAAGTCTGCCCCTTAAATATGAATAAACTTTTACTATTTATTTCATAATATATTAACAAATTCACTTATAATCAAATTTAAAAAGGTATTACAAAGACATTTTACTCCTTTCTCACAAAGTTTTTACCGCAGAGCTTGTAAATGGCAAAATTTTAACTCATTTCTGAGTTTGCTTACAAACCCATTGTTTTATATTTGCAAGTGTTTTACAAATTCCAGGAGCAAGATATGATTAATACATTTAATGAATAAATATTCATTTTATATTATTTTTATATAAAATTATTAGTAAATTTATTAATAATTAAAGTGCAGATCTTAACTAAAGAAACTGGATACAGTTATATTCTGTTGTTTTCCCCATAACTTTTTCTGAATAACAGATCCCCATCGTGAGATGCATATATTCCGGAATAAAGGGGAAAATCTAATTGTACCTGACTAGGCTTTGGAATGGATATGTTACTGACCAAATAGGAATGAGTCTTCCTCCACAGCGTCAGAACCGTCTCTATTCTCTCCTGCTTGGAGGGAAGCTCCGACAGAGCAAACGCGCTGCTCACCAGGTCGAACTGCACCTGGAGGCGAGATGCAGGACAGCAGCTGTGTGTAACCTAGTCGTGTTGTACAGACCCCATTCAGCCACCAGGGGGAGGTGGGCACACCTTGGGGGAGACTGGAAGGAACTGCCGAAAGTAGACGTGTTTGATCAAAGGGTCCTCCTTGTCGCTACCACCTATGCAGAGAAGAAGAATTACTGTCAGTGTTATGCATCACAAATCCTTTGGCCTCATAGTATTTGCCCTCAGTTTTCAAAAGGATCAAAGACGAAATTCTGTTTTGTTCAATAAGAATCCTGCAGGGTGTAAGGATGGTTATCAGAGCCTCGAAATGGCACTTGATTCGCCTAAAAGGGAGGAGGAACGGCTGCTGTGGTGTGTGTACCTCGGAGTAGTCGCTCAGCCAGCGTGTTCATGGCCTTGGAACTGTCCACACACACGCTCTCTTTCAGAGAGTCGCCCCACGTCGTACGTGCCGCCCTGACCGGCGGAGGTGGACAGAGAACAAAAGAGATCAAGCCAGACCTCATCAGCACCCATCCCTGTAGCTCTGACCTGCTGGCACTACCTGTCTGCAGAATCTGCGCAAGACAGCTCTGTGCAGGGGACTGTCAAATGGCGTGACGTGCACCGTGACATGCATCCAGGCCATTCGTGGCGACAGTTTGATAACTGAGACAATCCTACCGCTAAATTGCATACATTCGAGTTCAAAATATACACCTTCTATAAAATTAGACAAACTCAATTCATCATACGTGAGATTTCGTCTTGGAGAAAATATCTGATAGCACTGCCACTACGCTGGGTGTGCAATATCTAAAACGTGGCAGCTGGTGTGAAAGATGATAAACTAAATGACTGATTATTTTTCTTACCAAACCACGGTTCCGAGACCAGAACCAAAGTCCAGAAGAGAAAAAGGGGTGAATGTGGGGTCTCGCTTCTTTATCTAAAGACGGAGAGACAACAGGAGAGAGTATGAAACATGGGACACAAAAATAATAGTCCCTCCCAACCCACTTAAAACTTTACATATTAGTTCCTATAACTTCTTCATACATAAGTGCAAAGGTGTCCTGAGGGATTGTAGTGTCCTCACCTCATTCAATGCTCTCCTCATGGCCGCGTAGCCCGCTGCCAAGCGAGCGGCCAGATACACCAGACACAGTTCATCATCATACCTGACAGGGAGAGACAAGACCGCAGGTGCCAATCACACAGGAGCACAAACAGGTAGCAAAGGATGTACACTGAGCAATGATGCAGCAAAATGAGGTGCTATTAAAATAATACTCTGAGAGTGTGATGAAAGCGGGAACTCCCAATAATACTCAGAGAGTGTGATGAAAGCGGGAACTCCCAATAATACTCCGAGAGTGTGATGAAAGCGGGAACTCCCAATAATACTCCGAGAGTGTGATAAACACGGGAACTCCCAGGCAGAGTGTGGCTTAGTGGGCTCAGAAGGTCGCTGGCCTCAGCAGAACCGTCATGTCTGGGGGCCCTTGAGCAAGGCCCTTAACCCCTAGCTCCAGGGGCCACTGCAGGTGGCTGCCTATCGCTGCTAAGCTTGCTCTCACTTATGTCTGTGTATCATGAAAAGCAAGATGGGGTAGGCAAAAAAGAGAATTTCCACACAGGGACCAATTAAGTGTCATTATTTAGAGTAGAGTAATTGTAATGCTTTTGGGCAGCAACAAGTTAGAATAATATAAAGTGAAATATCTGCAGAGGCCGTACAGCAAGGAGGCACAAAGCTGGTTAGTACTACACGGGGACACACAGCTACCTCAGCGGAGTCCAGTGGTACGTTGTTTTTTTCAGAGCTGATAATACCTTCTTCCGGATATGCATCTCTGCCAGATGGCTGTCTGTGTCTGACAAACACATAACACACAGTACTTTCAGAGAGTCGTGGCACATGCCCATATTTACACAGTCATGATTGTTTTTATTTAGGGGACGGTTTTATCATAAGTGACGTACAATACAAGGGAGGCGAACAGCACATCGCAAACATACGGCTGTCAAGGAGCCAGCTGGAGCCAGCTGGAGCCAGCTAGAGCCAGCTAGGCATAAGTGCAGCTAGGCTGAGCTCCCAGTGAATGCCCAGGTACAGGTATAAGCAGTATTTGGAGCAGGAGCTATGCTTAAATTCAACACCGTGTTAAGCTGGAGTCCTGCCACCTCCTGCACTCCACTCACCTGTTCTGCTTTCCATCTCCTGCTCCCAGAGGCCTTTCTCCATAGCGAGGGCCCTTTCCCTAAGCTGCTCTTCATCCATGGGCCTTTTCCTGCTCCACAGGAAGTTGCTGAGTCTGCGTGCCTGCTCTGTTAGATCCCTCAGTGCTGCCCCTGTTGGACAGAAGGACCCATTGCAAGCGCCACGCACATGAAGGGCGTCTAGACGCCGCAAGCTAAAACCTAGGGCTCCTTTAAATCAGAGCTAGATAAGATTTTGACAACTCTGAGCTATTAGTTAAGTTCTCCCCAAGCAAACTTGATGGGCTGAATGGCCTCCTCTCGTTTGTAAATTTCTTATGTTCTTACATTTGAACAGCCCTGTGCTGGACAAGAAGTCGGAAGTCGGATGGATGGAAGTTTTGGATATAAAATATTTCTAAATGAGGTTTTATTCTCAAAAATCTGCAGTCACATAGCTGAACAAGGTTAACCACTCCTGACACAGCAATAATTAATCACGTAATAATTTTTCTTTGCATGGTGACAACATGGAAATCTATCTGGTTTAGACTGCAGATCCTCTGAATGTCAGTTAATGTCCTGGTGGCAGAGGGGCAGGATGCAAGTCCCTCACCATGTACGATGGACAGCGCCCCCCTCTGCAGCTCCTCCGGAAGGTGCACCGTCTTCAGGGCTGTCACACCCGGGTGCTTCCTGTAGGGGGCGCCCTTCAAGAAGGCCGCTACTGCTTGTACATTAGCCACGGTGCTGTAGCCCTGGTGAAGGAATGAATCGAGTAGCTGCCATTTTAGGATTCTTATGGACATGTGCATGTGCATGTATCAGGGATATCAAATATGCCACATCCCTGAGCTCACTTTAAAAATAGCTGTTTACCATGATAGAAAGTCCACTCTTGATTTTTTTGCCATACATAACAGATTAAAAATTGCTTCTAACATTTAATAGGTCTCAAATCAAAACAAAAAGTCAGTGAAATAATGATCTATACGGAACATTTATATGAATCATATTACTCACTTTTACTACTAGTAGGTAGTAGTCTCAAGCATAATTTAACATGTGATGTAAAAACTAATATGAATTAACACTGAGATCTGTATTAATTAATATTTTCAATATCATGCAATTATTTTATATACATATTTATATTATCCTAACATATTCATTCATCATTATTAACTTCTAAATGGATAACCTGAATTTTGCGCCTAAAAGTAGGTACAACCAATCACCGTAGACCGATGTGCATAAATTACCATAAACCCTACCAGTCGTTGTTTTACACCGAATCTTTTAGCGTTTCACGGCTTTTGGATATTTTTTACTTTGCTAGTCATTGTCGGGTGAATGTCCAACATGAACTCTCTATATTTAATTCAACAGAAATAAAACTACAAATATTTTTACACACCATGTTAGACAACATACAAGTGCCTTGTGTGGTATATAACAGAAACTCAAGCACTGCCCAAACAGGAGCGGAAGGAAGCTCACTGTAGAGGTCACGTGCTGAGTGCTCAGTCACTCACCCAATCACCTCGGGGAAGGTCTGAGACAAGAGCCAATCGCTGCCCTAGCAGGGCATCGCCCGATGCGGGTGAGCGAGCGCACAGAAATCATGGGTTGCTACGAGCACCTTAGCAGGAGAAGCCGTCTGGCACAATAACAGTGCGCACGGTGGATGCGGTCTCGGCAACTTGGAAACACTCGCGGCTGGCGCATGAGTGCGATGTGTGAGCTGGAGAACATCTCCAGAACCCAATTCAGACTACTCTCCTTCCACTCCTTTTGTTATGTTCACGATTCATTTTTGCATGTTATACGCTTTACATATCGACATTGAAACGTGAGGCTAACGCAGGTTAACTATAACCAAGAAACTAGACCTATACTTAGAATGTTACAAGCATTCCTCTTTACTCACTTTGTATGTCGTCCTCAAAGGAATCATAGATAGATATTGGACTGACGCTGTAACCAAAACTGACAGTTGACTGATGCTGTTGCCAAGATTCCAAAGTGCTGCCATATTTTCATTGGATGCTCACTAAGATTCACATTTGGAGTAAGGCAAAACCATGCGTCCACAACCAGAAGTTGGTCCGTCGACGAAAACAATCCGACTTCATACAGTCTTACCGACAAAGTAATGTTTGGTAACATAGTAATGTAAACACACTGACAAGCACGTGATTTTAAATCGTTTATGTACGTTACATCTTAAATTCCTCATAATTGTTTTTCTCCAGCTTAAATTTTTACTTTTACATTCTATTGTTCTTCTCCGTAGCTCTCTACGGCATGTGTCTTTTATCTTTTCTGGCCGATCGTGGTTTGTGTTGGGTTCATAATCCATCAAAAATGTCTTTATACAGCTCTTAATGGTAATTTAACTATTTCTGTATTTGTCCCCCTAGAACATTACAAAGAAAAAAATCCGATGACCGTCTCAAATGCAGTCCTTTGTTGACCAATAAAACAGCATCGGAACCACAACACCGACAATTTTCCTGTCCGAACCCAAACAAAAGCTGCTCCCGATCTCCACAAATCGCGTCTGAGACTTCCGGCTTTCGTAGCAACGAACTCTCTTAAGTTATACAAATCAGATTACAGTTATTACGCTATATTCAGATTACAAACAAATAGCATCTATATAGTTTTAATTAGACTGTTAAATTTAATCGTCATATAACGTATGATAGCTGTTCGTCGTGAAATGAGACGTACAAGAAGCTCCTGCAAGAAAACCGAAGCAATCCCAAAAAATGAAGAAAATAACTCAGGTATTTACCTTTTTACTTTATTAGTAAAACAAATATTTAAATCGATTTCTGTATAATGTGACGATTCATAGAAATTCTACACTTTTGTATTTTGTAATTTTACAGGTTTTTTTTATTATTTATGTCAGTAATTAAAGTTAAGGGACTGCTGCACCCATTACATCTCATTAAAAGGTGTCCATGCTGTGTTCTATTTAGTTTCTTTTTTGTGTATTGTACCTTTTTTGTATTTTTGTATTGTAATATATTGGAATTGAGGGTCTGGAGCCCCGCGACCCTGCATAGAATAAGCGGGTATAGAAAACTTATGAATGGGTGGGATGCAAACTATGAATTTTTGTTTAAGTTCTCAAGTATGACCTATTAGTTTATATGTATTTTACATTAATTTTCGCTTGAAGAAGCATTTTTAATAGACTTTAGCGTTATTGAGCTTAAGGAGAATTTAATTCTGTCGTTTTTCTATAAAAACAATTCTTAAGAGGTTTCAGTGGCGTACACACCTTACTAATTCTCTGTTGGGGTCTGATGATACAGACTCTGCCCAGGTTAAAGAGGAGGATGAGGAGGAACCAGTTGTCAAGAAGAAGTCGATCAGGGTGAGGAAACAGAAGCAAATCAAAGAGGAGCCTAGTGAGGGAGCTGAGAAAAAAGGTGAATGGTCTTTAAGATTGAACCTTTTCTTCTAGTGAAGACACACAGAATGCTATATCTGGCAGTCCATACATTGTCAAGCCTGTGAGTTTCCTGAGGTGTGAATAGTAGTTTGTACAAATATGATCATGATATGAGAAAATGTGATTAAGATCGCTGATAGCCATTTGTATGTAGGGACATTTTTCATAATACAACTAAGTCTCTTCCCCAAAAACAGGTGCCACAGCACATTATAATGGCAATGGGTGCGCTTCTTTGCTGACTCTTAGTTAATAGACAGTGTCTTGTGTTTTTCAGAAGTCGTTAAGACTGTGGTGATGAAGGGGAGAGCTCCGGTCGACTCCGAATGTACTGCCAAACTCGGCAAGGTGATGAAATCCCTTACCAGCTGCCCCTCCTCATCTCTTTTGTTTGATTAGCTTGTATTCGGAATTATGTTCAGTATGCTTGCTCCTGATTGGCTCCAGTCAGCCGAAATATGATCCGGTCTTGTTCAGTCATTTAATTTGATTGGTTTTAATTCTTTCGTTATTATTGATTCAGTGTGTAGAACATGACGGAGAGATTTGTTCACATAGATACTTGGTGTAAGGTTTTGCTGATTTGCACACATCCTGACTTTTTTTAAATACAAATAACAGTGTCCTAAAGGCGCCACCTCTTTAATTCCTCTTTTTATATATGTATGTTTCAGGCTCACGTTTACAGCAGTGGTGATGATGTTTATGATGTTATGCTTAACCAGGTAAAATTTATAGATTTAATTTATTTTTCTGGAGATGCTTGCCTGGATTATATAGACGTCATGTGACCCGTCTCCTAACATGTCCGTGTGGTTTTGCGTTGCAGACCAACCTTCAGTTTAATAATAACAAGTACTACCTGATTCAGCTTCTGAAGGACGACGGCAGCGACAGCTACAGCGTGTGGATGCGTTGGGGGAGAGGTGGGCCAGCCTGGGTTCCACCACCAGTCCTAAAGCCAGGGGTCTCAAACTACCGATACAGTTTCATATAGCCTGCGACATGCTTTTATTTTACTATTTAATCTGGCCCTCAAATCTTTACCTTGTACTATTGCATTTTTCCTTTAATTGATCAGAGAGCTGTTTTTAATAGGTAAGCAGAATGGAAACATAAAATAGGTCATTTTATGGTTTCTCCAAGCCCAGACAACTGGTGGTCATAACCGTTTATTGGTTACAATATACTGATAAAATCACATCACATCTTGACATAGATATGTGTTCTTACCATACTATTTTGTCCATATTCTAATGTGACTGCTGCTAAGATGACCTTCTACAAGGAAAAGCTGGAAATCTCTGCACAGGATCCTCACAAACACCATAACGTCTTTTCATCCTTACGTGACCCGCCAACTCCTCCTACTCCATCCTCCCTGACCACTGAAGACTCCCCTAACTTCTTTGAGGACAAGATTGATCAGATCTCTCAGACTTTCTCTCCCACCCCAACTATACACTACACATTAAGGATTCCCCTTTGCTGGCTCGATTTTCCAATCTAGCAATAGAAGAAATCCTGCAAGTCATCTCGTCATGTAATCCTTCCACCTGCCCACTGGATCCAATCCCTTCCACAATGCTTCAGACAGTCTCTTAAGACCTTCACCCCTATCATTAATAGCTTCATAACATCTGGTCATGTACCAACGGCATTCAAAAAAGCCAGGGTTATTCCCATCCTGAAGAAACCCACTCTGAATCCTTCAGACAGCAGCTACCGATTGGTATCACTTCTCTGTTTTCTTTCAAAAATCCTTGAACGCGCAGTTTACAATCAACTATCTCTTTTTCTCTCAGAACAACCTCCATGACCCTAACCAATCTGGCTTCGAAGTGGCACATTCCACATAGACTGCCCTCCTTGCTGTCACTGAGAAGCTAATGCTGCCCGAGCAACTAAACTGTCAGCTGTCCTCATCCTCCTTGACATTCAGCAGCATTTGTCTCAGTCAACCATAAGATTCTCCTGTCCGTCCTTATGAATCTTGGAATCCATGGCTCAGCATGGCAATGGTTTGCTTTCTACCTAAAAGGTCAGACATATCAAGTGACATGGAAGGGATCCACATCTACTCCACGCAGACTCTCCACTGGCGTTCCTCAGGGCTCAGTTCTTGGTCCTCTTCTGTTCTCCCTCTATACTAGATCTCTTGCTGAGGTCATATCCTCACATGAGTTCTCATATCGCTGCTATGCAGACGACACTCAACATATCCTCTCCTTTCCTCGTTCTCCCACCCCACGCCATTGTCACGCTCCCTCCACTGGCTTCCTATTGCTGCCGTCATCCGATACAAGGCACTCACTCACCTACAAAGTCACGGCAGTGTGTGGCGCACGGTGTAGGGCAGTCCTAATCTCCGAACGACTGACGTACGTTAGCCCGTTTTTAACAAAATATCAGTTTTTCTAAACTGAAATTAAAAGTTGATAGGGAACACTGATGGTTTCGTGAAAGGTGGACAACTGATTCAACTAGTTTCATCAAATTTAACTACCACAGTTACCTGCCTGATCTGCAGAGAGAAGTTTTAAAGGAATATAACCTCAAGCGACATTAGTCTACTAAACACTAAACACACTGAGCATTATGCAAGAAACGTAGGGGAAGGGAGGGAGAGACGGGATACCCAGATTCTTTGATATCTTCTTTTTTTATTTCTGCCTTCTCCTTATTCCTGTTCTGCTTTTCCTCCCCCCTGCCAGTTGGGAAGGTCGGACAGCACACTTTAATGACCTTTGGTGGAGACCTCGGCAAGGCCATGAGCACCTTCAAACAAAAGTACTTTTTTTTTTTCGTTTTTTTGTTAAATAATGGTGTGGTTTGTAATGCGTTTGTCAGTAAGGACGATGGTTTACGTTGGTTTGTGGTCTCCTGCTTCAGGTTTTTTGACAAGACGAAGAACTGCTGGGACGACCGGGCATCCTTTCAGAAAGTGGCCGGGAAGTACGACCTGGTCTTCATGGACTACATGGCCAGCAGCAAGGCAGGCAGACCTCAGTTTTTGTGTTACTTTAGTGTTCATCCTGCAATCAGACAGCCACAGCTCATCCAGGAAGCTTCCACCAGAGGCCTGACTAACACTAAGAAAACAGTGCATGTTGCACTGGTCCTTAAATCACTGCACTGGCTTCCTGTGTGTCACAGGATTGATTTAAAAAAAATATAATTATTTGTTGAGAAAGCACTAAATGGCCTTGGGCCTAAATACATTTCTGACTTACTTGAACATTATGAAGCATCCAGACCCCGGCGGTCATCTAGGAAAGGATGAGTTGGTGTTCACAGAATCGGGGCCAAGCAAAGTGAAGCAGCTTTTGGTGTCTATGCCCCCCCATCTGTGAAACAAGCTTCCTGAAGACCTGAGGTCTGTTAACACTGTCAGGGTTTAAAACATCACTCTTGTCCGCAGCTTTCCAATACATTAAATCAGTTAAGTCATACACTGTAACTACAATGTAACTTCTTTTTAGTTTTTAACCATTCATTTGACTTCACTTTTAGGCTTTTGTTTTTGTTGGCTTTTAAATGTGATTTTTAATGTTTTCGATTTTTAATGTATCCATATGCCTCTGTGAAGCACTTTGTATTGCCTTGTGTCTGAATTGTGCTACATAAATAAACTATAGCCTTCACCACCCTTATATTTAGTTACTTATTGTTCTGTACCTTATACTTTCCTCTGCCACCCCAGGAAGACGAACAGAAGAGCCAGGGGACTCAGGAGGTGGCCCTGCCCCAGAAACGGCCCTGCCAGCTCGACAGCCAAGTGCAGTCCCTCCTACAGCTGATCTGTGACATCAAGGCCATGGAGGAGAGCGTCCTGGAGATGAAGTTCGACACTAAGAAGGCTCCTTTGGGTCTGTTGGCGCCTGGCGTTGGTTCTGTACCCTCAGAGCTGGCTCTTTTTCCAACCTGTTTAAATTCACACATGGGGTGCTGTTCTAGGCCATGCAGGTTCCTCCATGTGTTCAGCTTTAGTCTGTGTAGGTTTTGGGGTAAATCAGTGAATGCAGACTCAGGTTGCTGCTGCTTGTTGGTGTTGCAGGTAAGCTGACGGTCGAGCAAATCAAGGCGGGGTATCAATCTTTGAAGAGGATCGAGGAGTGCCTGAAGAAGAAGGGCAGCAGCAAGGAGCTGATGGAAGCCTGCAACCAGTTCTACACCCGCATCCCACACGATTTTGGGTAAGGAAGACACTCTCCATTTAGCCAGGGAAAGGCTCGTCACACCTCCAGGGTGAGCATGCTCAGCCTGGGATAGGGCTGTTCCCAGGTGTTCACCCCGTGCTCAGCCTGGGATAGGGCTGTTCCCAGGTGTTCACCCCGTGCTCAGCCTGGGATAG